TACAGTAGCTGGTAAGGTAGGATTTATCCTCAGGTCTCACTTGCAGTCAGTGCACCAGTATTATCCTGTGTAGCTCTATTGGTTGTTAAAATCTGGAAGTACCATTAGTGGGTGCCTTCCATCGTATCCAACTCTTTGTCACCCCATGGACTGTAGCCCACCAGGCTCCTCTGCCCCTGGGATTCTCCAGGCGAGAATACTAGACTGGGTTGCCATTTCCTTCTCCAGGGGATCTTCCCAACCCAGGGATCGGACCCAAGTCTCCTGAGGCTCCTGCATTGGCAGGCAGAATGTTTACCACTGAGCCACCTGGGAGAGACTCGCTTTGTTACTGGTCAGCAGATAGTCACTGACTGAGTTCTCCACTACTGTGGCTGCTCTCCACACCTCACAACCTAACACCTAAAAGGTTCAGGCTGGCACAGTATGGGCTCTCAGGACCCAGCTCTGGCTCTAAGGCTCCCTGGTATCCATTCTCATAGGTCAGTATGCATACTGTACTAATTGTATTTTGAATACTCCCCCTGTTTGCCCCATTTTACAGATGGGCAAAGTGAGGCTCTGACATGTTGAACCATTTGCCTCAAATTGTTCAGTTCTTAAATGGTAGAATCAGGACTTGAACTTAGTCTTCTAGGATTGAGCCTCATGTCCTTTTCCCTCTGTCTCCCCTACTGCTGGCCTTGTGCTTATTCATCACTTGGTGTGGACAATGAGGGAGCAAGTTGAACAGGTTCTTTGGGTTGGCACAGGAGAGTTAGAAAATCCTATAAGGGTCCCAGGCAGAACGGAACTCTTTCCTTTGAATTGTATTGCCATATGGCAGTCTTCCCTGGCCCCTGACAATGTTGTATCCCTAAGCCCTTTCAGGCTGGGGGTATCATCAATCTCTTGACACTCTCTCTCCACACCCAGCAACTTTAGGGGGCCATGGCAGCTTAATGCAGAGAATGCTCCATGTGTGCGCCTAGATGCCCTCTTATCTATAGTCTCTTCACCTCTCAGGCTGGGCTTATACAATTTATCCTGCTAATTTTGGAGGTCAGGAGCTTCTGTGGGAGGCCCTACCACTTCATTTCCTTCTCCAAACTTAAATACATATTCTGATTTCAGAAGCAACACTGGAAACTGAGTCACAGTTGCAGGTGAAGAAAAGCGAGACAGGGCCCTTCAAGTACTGGAGCTGGGCACCAACTGGACAGCAGATCATCCTGGCAGGTCGTTTTGCCTTTCTCCACCCTAGAGCCACAGGCAGCCTCCTTCTTGGAGAAACAAAAGAGGAGGATGTGGAGAGGAGAGACACTTTCTACCTCTCCTGTGTGCAGCAGAGAGACAGGAAGATGGGAGGAGGTGAGGATGCACAGAAAGATGAGTAGCCAAATATAGGGACCTTCAGAAGCCATAGTAGCTCAGTGGTAAAAAACCTGCCTGCCAATGCAGGAAACACAGGAGATGCAGGTTCGACCCCTGGGTTGGGAAGATCCCTGGAGGAGGAAATGGCAACCCATTCCAGTATTCTTGCCTGGAGAATTTCATGGACAGAGAGCCTGGTGGGCTACAGTCCATGGGGTTGCAAAGAGTCGGGCACAACTGAGCAACTGAGCACACACCCACTTAGCAAGTGACCTTCCAGTGTGTGTATGTGTGTGTATGTGTGTGTGTGTGTGTCTATCTTTGTTGACAAAGCATGCATCAAATACTTTACATAACTGACCACTCAGTCCCTATGTAGGCCTTTTGATAATTATCCCCAGGGTAAAAGAAGAAGCTCAGAGAGGTCATGGGACCTGCCCAGGGTAACACAGCCAGTAAGTGGCAGTCAGGTCTCCCTGATGAATTAACCTCAGATCTGTCTGATTTCCCAGCCCAAAGTCTTCTGTACTTCACGGGAGGGATATGGAGGGAAAAAAAGCTTAGAAAAGATATTTTTGTGTGTGCTGAAGCCCAAGTCACTGAATGTGCTTTGTCTTTATCATCCATGGCTTCCAGCCAGGAGGACTGGAGTCCTACCCATCCTCCTTCCTCCCTTTCTTCTACATCCTGGCCTTTATCCAGGTACTGAATCATCACCTACCCTCGTTCACAGCCTTGAACAAAACAGTGCCCACCCTGTTGTCTTTCTTGAGCCCACGAAGGAGATGGTCCCAGGACCCAGCACCCATTGTTCCCCACAGGTTCTGGGATCCTGAAATGAGGGACTTCTAAGACAAGCCCAGCTTCCTCTCCCCTCCCCAGGTTCGTCCATTGCCACACTCCTTTCCATGCTGTTTGCTTCCTGGGGCTAAGTCCAGCTTGGGCCTCTCCCTGGGAGTCTACCATGCTGGTCAAGGTCACTCACCAGCAGAGCTCCCAGGAGGCAGGCAGAACCCTGTCGAAGTAGAGCCCGCAAGGGACCAACCAAGAATTCCCTCTCACTGTCCCAAGCCCAGAAGCCACCACTGATTGGACAGACCAGCTCTGGAGGGACACTCCTTCAGGGAAGAGGCACAAGGGTGTGTGGCTCCTGGAATAAGCTTTCTAGCTCTAATCTCCTTAGGGCTTTCTCACTGGGATTTCTGAGGCTACCACTGAGCCGTGCCTCCAGAGTTACTGCTCCTTACTTTTTCATGGCCTAAGAATAGACAAACAGGTCCTTTTCCCTGTTCCTCAGGTTCAGCTGAGTCAGGCTGACCATTTCAAAAAGAGCTTAAAGGAAAACAAAAAGGAAATCATTATAGAAACCACAAACAACATAGAAGTGGTAATGTCCAAAGTGCAGGTTTCCTATTCTGAGAATAATGTTAAAACCAGTGAAAAGCTCACCAAGTTCCACATTCCTCGATCCCAAGAAAACTCCAGACCTAATTGTGCTGGCATAACGTAATGGGCCTCTGGCCTGACCCTTCGTTTCAGCCTCTGGCCATGTGATCTCCCAGGCCAATTAAGGCAGCACTGTCATCTAAGTGTATCTTTTACCTTTAAACTCCAACTTCCCCAAAATGAGTTTATTTTCGGGGTTTATCCGTAGAGTCTCTCCCTCTAACACCCACCCTCATCATTGTCCCGGGTAGTGAAGCATCTTTAATTGCCCATGAATGAACTCAGATTTTCAGCTTCAACCACCTAAGGAGTCTTCACCAAATGAGACTCTTTCCTGCAAAGGACATAGGAACAAATGAACCAGTGGGCTTCCAAAAATCCATATTATGTGTCATAATGCCTTCTTCAAACATCCACCTTCAGATTCCTTCAAAAGAGTTAGCTTTGTACTGGGCTGGAGGAAATGCCAGGAGAAAATGCCTAGGAGACATTCCCTTCCACTTGAAAAAAGAATTCATTTGCAATGCAACATGCAGGTAAGAAATAACTACTGCTTTTAAGTTAACAATTGCAATCACAGAATGAAGTTCCGGGTGAGATTCTGACTCTATCACCAAAGGGTATCACAAAAGAACAGAAACGACTCCCACTGCTCTGACAAGTCCTTGGATTAGTCTCCTTCGAATTTGGTCGTCAACTAAAGCCAGGATTTCGGGGACGTCCCAACAATTGTGTTGCAACTGGTAGAAGACAGTTAACAGCCAGCAGGGAAAGCTGGAGAATAAAAAATACGGGTGAACGTTGAAGTTGGGCGGGGTCTTCGCTTTCTCTGATCCTTGACTCCTGCGGGTAGCCGTCGTTGCCCTGGGATACCAGGAGACGCCGTGACTCGTGCGTCTTGTATCTATAGAAACGACAGCATAGCGGCGGTGTGAGTTCTGAGCGTTGGTCCCAGCGACCAGGCGAGCTGCGCGAGTGGCCAGGGAAGGTATCTGTCTTAGGTGACCGTCTCCTTTGGGAAGTCGTGACGGGGGTCCCCTCAGTGTCCGTCGGAGAGCCCCGAGGGACTAAGACTTGGGCGAGATCAGCCTGGAGATCTCTTAGAGGATAGTGAAACCGCTCTAAGTATATTTTATTTCTTCTTGGCAACCCGCCGCTTTTTACACTGGTCATCTTAGGAATTTTTAGGTTGGAAATCAGGCAAATAAAGGGAGCTGATTTTTTTTTTAAGGTTCTCAAGATATAAAAAAGATACGAAAAACAACACCTCCCTTGCCCAGTGTCCTCGCAGTGATTGCAGTCTTTGGAAGAGTAGCACATGCTAGTGTGGAAGTTGTCATTGTTAATTATAGTAACATAGGTTTGCCTAGGGCTTTTTCAAATTCTCTGTTTCTTTCACAATTAAAGTCAATTTTGTGAAATAGGATAACCTTCATTTTACAGGTGAGGAGACTGAGGCTCGAGGAGATGGAGAAACTTGCCTATCTCAAATGAATCGGAGCAGATGCTGGAACCCAACTTTTCTTGCTCCAGGACCAGTGCTCACTTCCCTAAGCCCTAAGCCCTGGTCTGGACCAGCTTTCTACCCTGTTATCTCTCTTTTTTTCCCTACAAATGCTGATTGGAGATTTTTTTTTTTTCCAGAGTCCAGAGGCAGAGGCTGTTGTAGAATCCCCTACAGTTACAGGCATTACTGAGCCAGGTAAGTACTAAAAAGCCATCCAACATCAGAAAGGTAACAGGGCCTTCCTCCCTGTCTCACCAGCTTGCATCTCTTTGATTCCATCTGAATGTTCATTGAAGTAGGAGCCTTGCCTGTCCTGTCTGGTGCCTAGCACTGGTACATAGCAGGCATTCAGTAAATGCCTTGTGAATGAATGAATGAATGAATGAGTGAATGTAAGATAGTCCCCTTTGGAGGGTTTGGTTGCTACTGTTTAGTTGCTCTGTTATGTCTGACTCTTTTGTGACCCCATGGACTGTAGCCCACCAGGCTCCTCTGTCCATGAGATTTCTCAGGCAAGAATACTGGAGTGGGTTGCCATTTCCTTTTCCAGGGGTTCTTCCCAACCCAGGGACTGAACCCACATCTCCTTCTTGGCAGGCAGATTCTTCACCACTGAGCCACCAGGGAAGCCCCTAGATGGTTTGGACTTGTTGCCAATTAGGAAAGAGTACATCAGCAGAATCTTTCGGTCCGGATGAGTGGTGAGGAGGGTATGGGAGAGTGTCTGATGGAAGTGTGGAAATTTCTAAAGGGCGACCATAAAACTGTTTCCCAAATCATAATATGTTATAATAAGGGGCTAAACCCCAGACTGGAAAATAAATAATTTCAGGCCAAATAAAAGATGACTCACATCTAATCATAAATTGTTGTAAGGATTAAAATACATGTGAAAGGCTTACAACACTGCTTGGCACATGATAAGTTCTCTATAGGCGTTCTTAGAAGTTGTTATTATTTTTGAAATTGTTGTTCAAAGAGGTGGGGGAAGGTACTGAGTAATCTTACAAATGCACATATGTTCAAAAAAGGAGTACATTGATGCTGTCAAATATGGTAGCCACACCTGGGTGTATATGCAGAAGGAAGGGGAACTTGAGATGGAGCCAGAGCCAGTTTGGGACCCTTGTGTGTCCAAAGCAGGGTCAAGCACCCTTTTGAGCATTTGTTGAAAGCTGTGGACACTCTCCCTGGAAAAGAGCATATGCCCATACCCATGAAATTTGCGTATAATTTGCCTATAATATTTGCATATAATTTCCAGACACAGCCTATCAGTGGATCCCTCTGCTTTAGAGGCTGATTCATTTATCCTTGGATTGAATCATCATTTCAGTGAAGGCTTCCTTTAAACCTGGGTTAAAAGCAGAGACATTACTTTGTCAACAAAGGTCCGTCTAGTCAAGGCTATGGTTTTTCCAGTAGTTATGTATGGATGTGAGAGTTGGACTATAAAGAAAGCTGAGTGCCAAAGAATTGATGCTTTTGAACTGTGGTGTTGGAGAAGACTCTTGAGAGTCCCTTGGAATGCCAGGAGATCCCACCAGTCCATCCTAAAGATCAGTCCTGGGCGTTCATTGGAAGGACTGATGTTGAAGCTGAAACTCCAATACTTTGGCCACCTGATGCAAAGAGCTGACTCATTTGAAAAGACCCTGATGCTGGGAAAGATTGAGGGCAGGAGGAGAAGGGGACGACAGAGGACGAGATGGTTGGATGGCATCACCAACTCAATGGCCATGGGTTTGGGTAGACTCTGGCAGTTGGTGATGGACAGGGAAGCCTGGCGTGCTGCAGTTCATGGGGTCACAAAGAGTCGGACACGACTGAGCAACTGAACTGAACAGGTTGTGTACTGATAGAAAAAACTCAGAAGCCCAAGAAGCCTTCAGTCTCATTTGCCTTTCCTTGGTCCTTTATTTCTCTTCTCAGAGGAGGCCAGCCATGTTCTGAGGCAACACGTAGAGAGTAAAAGCCAGGTAAAAGCAATGCATATGCTTCAGTGACACTCACTGGGGACTTACTGAGAAATGCCACGTGTGGTTATGGAGAGCAGTGCTGCATGGGCCTCATCCCCAGTTCTCTTTTCCAAATGGCCTTTCCTGAATGGTGAGCCTCTAGGCTCCCAGGCAAAGCCCTGGGTCTTGTATTTAGGCTCGTTCCTCACATGCCACTTCAACCTGTTGCCAAAGCTCGGGAGCAGGCAACTCCTCCATGATCACGGTGCCCATGGTGAGTATTCTCCATTGATGTCTCTTTCTCATGCCCCTCCTGTCTCCTCTCTGGTCTCTTTCCAGCTCCCGACTGGCAGGAACTCTTGGCTTAGCCAGAGAGCTTCCTTCGGACTTGTGTTCCCGTCACCCGATGCTCATTGAAGCAGTCCTCAGCCTCCTCATGAGGACTAGGGACAGCGGGGACTGCACCATGAACTCCGGATCGTGCCTGAGTGCCAGCACAGTGGCCTTTCCCACCATCACTGGCAGCAGCATGGCCGTGAGTGCCTACAGCAGCAGCAACGCCAGTGCCTTTGTGAGGACGCCTGTGGGGCCGAGCGGGGTGGATGGGCAGCAGGGCGGCAGGGGTCGGAATCTGGGAGGGCCCCTCTCTCCTGTCCCAACCCCATTACTAGACGGAGGGATAGTAATATACGGAGCCCCAGGCCAGCTGGAGCAGTGACAGCTGTGAGCATGACGGCGGAGAGGAGAAGAATGTCGGCGAGATGGGAGTTTGCGGCTGATAAGAGTAGCCCATAGTTCTCTCTTCCTTCACAAAGGTCTTCTGATCTTGATGCCTAGGGCTTTGCCTTTGTCCAGTGGGTGCATGTTGTTTGCTTTTTGGCAGCTCTCAGGGCTCTCTTTGTGTGACAGCACTGGGTCAGGGTGGCCGGTGCTCGTCTAGGGAGGTAACATAGGGGTCCGACTGTGTTTTGTGCAGCATGTGTCTGTATCATGTGGGAGCTCTCGGGTTGACTTAGATGTGATGCTGGTTGCATCTGCCTCCCTGTGGACCATGGTCATCTCTCCCCTGCATCTGTGCCGTTCCAGGTCAGTTTGCACACAGATTCATTCACTGCCCTTCCCCACTCTGCTCTGAGCTGGCTGGAGACTGGAAGGTGGGAGGAGGGGAGAATCTCTGCTTTTGACAGCGTCTCGGTCGGCATCTCTCTGTGACTGCCATCGGCACCAGACAGTGCTCTGGGTTCTGAGAACCCCACCTCTTCCCCTCACTTGTGTACAGTGGCACCTTCTTTTTAAAATTATATTAAATTAATTTGTTTATTTCTTTTTGGCTGTGCTGGGTCTTTGTTGCTGCACATGGGCTTTCTCTAGTTGCAGTGAGCAGGGGGCTACTCTTCGTTGTGGTGCATGGGCTTCTCATTGCAGTAGTTTCTCTTATTGTGGAGCCCATGTTCTAGGTGCACGGGCTTAGTAGTTGTGGCACATGGGCTTAGTTGCTCCTCGACATGTGGAATCTTCATAGACCAGGGAGCAAACCCATGTCCCCTGCTTTGGCAGGCTGATTCTCAACCACCGGACCACCGGGGACGTCCCTGGTGGCCACTTCTTGAGGTTACTTTGAGTAACTTTGAGGTTACTTCACTAGCCGCTGGTTGTGCATTGAACTCCTTATTTTAAACACCCAGAGGGGTTTCTGTTTTTCTGGTTGGACTGATTGATGCATCAGCTGATGTTTATAATAAATGACCCTCGGTCACCCATGTCACCTTTCCTCCGTGGGCAGTTCAGGCCATCTGACACTCTGTATATTTTGAAACTGAGATGTAAGCTCCAAGAGAGAAAGGATTTGATGGTCTTGTTCACTGTTATCGGCCTGGCACTAACCTCTACAGTGTCTGGGGCATCATAGGTAGTGAAACACATACCTGTTAAACACATACATTTACCCTATGTTGTTGCTCAGCTGCTAAGTTGTGTCCCCATGGACTGCAGCATGCTGGGCCTCCCTTATATAGTGATGTAAAAACAATACTTGGTCAAAGTTAAAGAAAAGTGCATGAATGGTAGGAAGAGGCACCTGGTTCCTCCTGCCATCTTGCTGCCCCAGAAGTTTTCCATTCCCCTCCCTCCTCAGATAGTTACGGGTTAGGGATCAGCCTGTGAAAGGATTTGCTGTTACAGACAGGAGTGTTGGTACAGTGAACCTCTAGCATCCTTAGGAGAAGTGCTTGGAGTGGCCTCAAAGCCAAGGCATCGGGTGTGGGTTGGCCCCAGGCAAGTTGGCTCTGTCCTCTGTTCCACCAGCTAGGTGAGGGATGGGAGAGGAAATGGTGGAATATCCCTGTGCCCTGGAGAAGTCCCAGTGAGGGACGTCTTAGAGAAGTTCTCTACAGGCTTCTGCAGAGAAGGGGTAGGATGGGGAGGATGAAGAGGAGAAGGCAGCATCTGAACCGAGCAGTGTGTGAGGGCCCACTGGGGAACAGAACAGGCCAGCTAAGGCTGCTGAGTGTGCTGGGTTAAGTGGCCGACAGAGTGGTCTGGGGAAGGCTTCAGGGGCAGTGTCTCAGGGAATCTAGTTGGAAAACCACTCCAGTGACCTCAGAAGAGGTAATATGAGACTGCAGGGCCTCCCTGCCTCTCACCTTCTCTCTCCAGACCATCCCCCATGGGGCAAGGAGTGGTGTAATTCATTACCTTCTAGAGGTGGGGCGATCTTAGCCCATTCTCGGGGTCTTTGAAGTCTTCTCTCCTTTCTCCCTGCCAACCGGACAGCCTGCCAGCTCCATGGATACTCAGCTGTGCTTCCCAAAGAAGCAGGACAAAGTGAAGAAGAGGGTCATCTGGGACATTGAGGTGACTGAAGAGCTACAGTGGAAAGGCTGGGTGTTGGGGAAGGAGATCACCAAAACCCTGGTTCTGAAAAATCTCTCCTTGAAAATCCAGAAGATAAAATACAGGTACCAGTATGAGGGATCAGAGACTAAGTCCCTGAGCCCTCAAACCCCCAAGGCAGCCACTTTAAAAAAAAAAGTCATACAAAACCAAAAGAGTGTATAGAACATGTATAGTTTGAACAGTTGTTGAAAGTGGAACCCATGCGACCAGGTTGATTAATGGAGTAATAACAGTGCCTGAAGCTCACCTTCTCTCATCATGTGTCCCCCCAGCATTGGAACACCTTCCCTACTGGTAAAGGTAACCACTGTTTTGACTTTCATGATAATGATTTTCTTGTCTTTCTCAAAAGAGTTTGCCACTTATGTTTGCATCCCTAAATGATATAGTTTGTTTACCTTCTTTTCTTATGAACTTTATGTAAGTGGGATAACATGATATACTTTTGTTGTTGTTGTTGTTCAGTCACTAAGTCATATCTGATTCTTTGCAACCCCATGGACTGCAGCATGCCAGGCTTCCCTGTCCTTTACTATCTCACAAATGCTCAAACTCATGTCCATTGAGTTGATGATGCCTTCCAACCACCTCATTCTCTGTCTCCCCGTTCTCCTCCTGTCTTCAATCTTTCCCACCATCAGGGTCTTTTCCAGTGATTCAGCTCTTCACATCAGGTGACCAAATTACTGGAGCTTCAGCTTTAACATCAGTCCTTCCAATGAATATTCGGGATTGAATTCTTTTAGGATTAACTGGTTTGATCTCCTTGCTGTCCAAGGGACTCTGAAGAGTTTTCTCCAGCACCACAATTCAGAAGCATCAGTTCTTCGGCTCTCAGCCTTCTTTATGATCCGTCTCTCACATCCGTGCATGACTACTGAAAAATCCATGGCTTTGACTATATGGAGCTTTGTTGGCAAAGTAATGTCTCTGCTTTTTAATATGCTGTCTAGGTTGGTCATAGCTCAGTTATATTCATAAGACTCATCCACATGCATACATAGTTTATCCTTTTTAATCACAGAGTAATAGTTCAATGTATGCTTCTATGTGTTTGTACATTGTTCTGCTGAGGAATATTTTGGTTGTTTCAAGTTTGAGACTGTTATCAACATTGTTCAGCTATTGCACAAGTTCAGGTTTTTCTCGGGTAGATACAAAGGAATAGAACTACTGTGACTTAGAACATGTACATGTTTGCTTCTTACAGATGTTTGTACATGTTTGCCAAACTCGTTTCCAAAGTACTTATATCCATTTATATTCCCACCAGCCACATATGAATATTCCCATTCCTCTTTATCTTTACCAACAGTTGATATTCTTTAGACTTAAATTTGTTGCTAATTTTGCTAATTTGTTGTAGGTTAAATTTGCATTTCTCTGATTTCTATTACAATTAAGTGTTTTTTCCTGTGTTATTGGCCATTTCGTTTGTGTTATTGGCCATTCCTGTTTAAGCCTGTGCACATTTTTCTGTTAGATTATCTTTTTTCATTTTTCAAAAAGAATTAAAATGTAGCTGATTTGCAATATTATATGAATTTCATCTGTATAGCATAATGATTGAGTACTTGTATAGATTATACTCCCTAAAAGTTATTACAAGATAATGGCTATCATTTCCTGTGCTATGCAGGATATCCTTGTTGCCTAACTATTTTATTTTATTATTTTAAGTTTAGGTTTATTTATTTATTCTATTTTTGGCTGTGCTGGGTCTTTGTTGCTTTGCATGGGCTTTCTCTCGTTGCGTCAAGCGGGGTCCACTCTTCACTGCAGTGCTTGGGATTCTCATTGCAGTGGCTTCTCAGGCTGTAGGCACATGGGCTCAGTAGTTGTGGCTCGAGGAATCTAGAGTGCGGACTCAGTAGTTGTGGCGTGAGGGCTTAGCTGCTCCTCGGCATGAGGAATCTTTCCAGAGCAGGGATGGAACCTGTGTCCGCTGCATTGGCAGGCAGATTCTTACCCACTGTGTCACCAGGGAAGTCCTGCTTATCTATTTTAAATTTGGTAGTTTGTTTCTCTTAACACCATATGCCTATCTTGATCTTGCCCCTTCCCACTTCCCTCTCCCCACCGGTAACAACTACTTTGTTTTCTGTGTCTTTGAGTCTGTTTCTGCTTTGCTATAAACATTGGTTTGTTTTCGTTTTTAGATTTCACATACAAGTGATATCATGTAGTATTTGTCTTTGTCTGACTTACTTCACTTATCATAATATTCTCTAGGTCCACCCATGTTGCTGGATTTCATTATTTTTTGTGGCTGGGTAATATTCCATTGTGAGTGTGTGTGTGTGTGTGTGTGTGTGTGTGTGTGTGTACGCCACATCTTCTTGACCTATTTGTCTGCTGATGGTCGCTTGGGGTGCTCCAGTATCTTGGCTATTGTAAACAGTGTTGCTATGAACATTGGGGTACATGTATCTTTTCCATGTTTTTTTCTTGTTTTTTTCTTGTTTCTTAGTATTTTTTTTTTTTTCCTGGACGTATGCGGAGGAGTGGAATCACTAGATCATATGGTAGTCCTATTTTTAGTGGTTTTGGAACCTCCATACTGTTTTCCAGGATGGCAGACTAATTAACATTCTCACCATTAGTATACAAGGGTCCCCTTTTCTCCACATCCTTGCTAACGTTTGTTATTTGTAGACTTCTTGATAATAGTGCAAGGTGATATCTTGTTGTGATTTACATTTCTCTAATAATTATGCATTGTTCAGCATCTTTTCATGTACCTGCTATCTGTCTTTACATGTTCTTTGTAGACTGTCTTTTTTTAATAGATGTTCTTATTGAAGATACTAATTCTTTGCCAGTTATGTGTTGTGAATATCTTCTCCCACCTTGTGATTTGTCTTTTCTTCTGTCATATATTTTGAAGAAAAGGCATTCTTAATTTCAAAGGAATCAAATGTACCAATATTTTTTCTTTTATGGTTGATAACCTGCAAGTTCTTCTCTACCCTTATCTAGTTCATGAAGATTTTATCCTATAGTATCTTCTAAAGACATTATAATTTTGCCTTTCATATTTGTCTTTTATCTACATGGAATTGATTTTTGTGAATGGTTTGAAGTAGGGATTCAGTGACTTTTTTTCCCTTCAAATCAATTTCCAGTTGTCCCAGCACCATTTATTGAAAATTTTATTCTTTGCCTTATGATCTCCCTACCACTGATGTTTATCAAGTGTCCATACATGTAGGAACCATTTCTGAATCCTGTTTTGTTCCCTTGCTCTATTTGTCTCCCCCTGGGCCAATAAATATCATCCTGAATTGATTATTAAAGCTTATAATAAGTTCTATAATAAGCTTATAATAAGTCTTGATTATCTTGTAGTTTAAGTCCTCCAACTTCATTCTTACTCAAGATTGTCTTGGCTCTCACTGGACCTTTTAACTTTTATAAATATCTTCAAATCAACTTAAATAGATGCATGTAGACAACCTTTTAAGATTTTGTTTAGGATTTAGTTGAACATATAGATCAATTTAGGCCTTCCAGGTGGCTCGGTGGGGTAAAGAGTCCGCCTGCAATTCAGGAGATGCAAGATACATGGGTTTGATTCTTGGGTCGGAAAGATCCCCTGAAGGAGGGCATTGGCAACCCACTCCAGTATTCTTGCCCGGAGAATCCCATGGACAAGAGGAGCCTACAGTCTATAGGATTGAAGAGTTGGACATGACTGAAGTGACTGAGCACACAGGCATGCACACATAGATCAATTGGGGGAGAATTGACATCATTACAAATTGAGTCTTTCATGAACATGGTGCCTCTCTATATTTCTTTAGGTCTTCTTTCATGTCTTTCAGTAAAATGTAAAATTTTCTCCATAGATGTCTTACACATCTTTAGTTAGAATTATACCTAAGTGTTTTAAATTTTTAATGATGTTGAGTATATCTTTTAAAGTTGTTTTATTTTTCTGCTTGTTGCTGGTTTTTTAGAAAGTCATTTTTTAAAAATATAGATGCTTTGTCCACACCCTTGTGCCCAGCGACCTTGGCAAATTCTCTTGTTAATTCTAATGATGTGTTTGTTAATTCTGTTTTCCATGTACATGTTCATATCTTAAATGAAAATGGCATTTTTTTCCTTCCTTTCCAATCCTATATCTTTTCTTTCTTTGTCTTTCCTTCCTGCACTATTGAAAAGGAAAGTGCTGAACAGAAGTGGTTATAGAAGACATCCTTGTTTTGCTCATGATCTCAACGTGAAAGATTCCAGTGTTTCACCATTAATTTGCATGTTTCCTGTAGTTGTTTTTTTTTCTTCTTTTTTTAGACTTTATCAGGTTAAGGAAGTTCCCTTCTATTCCTAGGTTGCTGAGAGTTTTTGTCATAAACATTCCTATAGTATCTTCTAAAGACATTATAATTTTGCCTTTCATATTTGTCTTTTATCTACATGGAATTGATTTTTGTGAATGGTTTGAAGTAGGGATTCAGTGACTTTTTTTCCCTTCAAATCAATTTCCAGTTGTCCCAGCACCATTTATTGAAAATTTTATTCTTTGCCTTATGATCTCCCTACCACTGATGTTTATCAAGTGTCCATACATGTAGGAACCATTTCTGAATCCTGTTTTGTTCCCTTGCTCTATTTGTCTCCCCCTGGGCCAATAAATATCATCCTGAATTGATTATTAAAGCTTATAATAAGTTCTATAATAAGCTTATAATAAGTCTTGATTATCTTGTAGTTTAAGTCCTCCAACTTCATTCTTACTCAAGATTGTCTTGGCTCTCACTGGACCTTTTAACTTTTATAAATATCTTCAAATCAACTTAAATAGATGCATGTAGACAACCTTTTAAGATTTTGTTTAGGATTTAGTTGAACATATAGATCAATTTAGGCCTTCCAGGTGGCTCGGTGGGGTAAAGAGTCCGCCTGCAATTCAGGAGATGCAAGATACATGGGTTTGATTCTTGGGTCGGAAAGATCCCCTGAAGGAGGGCATTGGCAACCCACTCTAGTATTCTTGCCCGGAGAATCCCATGGACAAGAGGAGCCTACAGTCTATAGGTTTGAAGAGTTGGACATGACTGAAGTGACTGAGCACACAGGCATGCACACATAGATCAATTGGGGGAGAATTGACATCATTACAAATTGAGTCTTTCATGAACATGGTGCCTCTCTATATTTCTTTAGGTCTTCTTTCATGTCTTTCAGTAAAATGTAAAATTTTCTCCATAGATGTCTTACACATCTTTAGTTAGAATTATACCTAAGTGTTTTAAATTTTTAATGATGTTGAGTATATCTTTTAAAGTTGTTTTATTTTTCTGCTTGTTGCTGGTTTTTTAGAAAGTCATTTTTTAAAAATATAGATGCTTTGTCCACACCCTTGTGCCCAGCGACCTTGGCAATTTCTCTTGTTAATTCTAATGATGTGTTTGTTAATTCTGTTTTCCATGTACATGTTCATATCTTAAATGAAAATGGCATTTTTTTCCTTCCTTTCCAATCCTATATCTTTTCTTTCTTTGTCTTTCCTTCCTGCACTATTGAAAAGGAAAGTGCTGAACAGAAGTGGTTATAGAAGACATCCTTGTTTTGCTCATGATCTCAACGTGAAAGATTCCAGTGTTTCACCATTAATTTGCATGTTTCCTGTAGTTGTTTTTTTTTCTTCTTTTTTTAGACTTTATCAGGTTAAGGAAGTTCCCTTCTATTCCTAGGTTGCTGAGAGTTTTTGTCATAAACACATGTTGAAGTTTATTTAATGTTTTTCTTTATTGAGATGGTCATTTGTTTTTTCTCTTAATTTGTCAATACGGTGAATTACATTAAATGATTTTTAATTTTCTTTTTTTTTGGCTGCACCACAGGGCATGTGGGATCTAACCTGCACCCCCTGCAATGGAAATTTGGAGTCTTAACCACTGAACTGCCAGAGAAATCCCCTGATTTTAAAAAAATTAATTATTTTTTGGCTGTGCTGTGTCTTTGTTGCTGCGCATACACTTTCTGTGAGCAGGGGGCTTCTCTTGTTGCAGCGCGCAGGCTCTGGGGCGCACAGGATTCAGTAATTGTGGCCCACAGGCTTAGTTGCCCAGAGGCATGTGGAATCTTCCCAAACCAGGGATTGAACCCATGTCCCCTGCATTGGCAGGAGGATTCCTAACCACTGGATCATCAGGAAAATCCATCCCCACACTTTTTTTTTTTTTTTAATGTTAAACCAATGGTGTATTCTTAGAATAAGCCCAGCTTGTTGATGATTGAGTATTCTTTCTATACACATTGCTAAATTGTTTTTGCCAATATTTTGTTTATGGCTGGTACTGGCCTGTAATTTTCCTTTCTTCTCATAACTGTCAGGTTTTGATAACAACATTATGATAGACTCACAGAGTATTTTGGGGAGGGTTTCCTTGTTTTCTGTTGTTGGGAATACAAGGCTAGAATTATCAAGTGCTCCATGCTACTTGCTGCAAAGCCATCTGGCCTGGTCTTTTCTTTGTGGGACGATTCTTTGACTATTTATTCAATTTTTTGGATAATTTTAGGTTAGGGTGGCCACAAAATGTATAATTCTTGAGTAACTTTTGGTCAATTATACATTCCTAGAAATGTGTTTATTTTATCTGAACCTACTGGTATAGAGTTTTTGGCAGTGTTGTCTCTCTCTTTTTTTTTTTTTTTTAGTAATTTTGTCTATTTATTCATTCACTTTCGGCTGTGCTGGGTCTTCGTTGCTGCGTGGGCTCCCCTCCACTTGGCGGCGAGCAGGCGTCACTCTCTAGCTGCGGTGTGCGGGCGGCCCCTTGCAGTGGCCCCTCTCACTGCAGAGCGTGGCCTCGGTAGCTGTGGGGACACGGCCTTAGTTGCCCCACAGCATGTGGGATCTCCCCAGGCCAGGGATGGAACCCGCGTCCCCTGCGTTGGCAGGTGGATCCTTAACCACTGGACCACCAGGGAAGTCTGCTCCTGTGTCTTTCCCTTCAGCGCTCCATCCTGGAGTGAATAAAAATGGTGGCACGCAAGAGGCAATTCCTACTGGGACATAACCCCCTGTGTTTCCCCTTCCACAGTCCCCCCAGCTGCTTAGCTTTCCAGGATCTCCCCTAATCTTTCTGCCTCTTCTAGTTTTCTGATCCCAAAGTGTGTATTCCTTGGCTCCCTCCCACAGGCCCCCCAAGACCAAGTTCTTCTTCACGGTTGTCCCCCAGCCCATCTTCCTGAGCCCAGGCCTAGCCCTCTCACTCCCCGTCATCTTCCGCCCCCTGGAGAAGGTAAGGCCTGCGGTGGCGAGTGGAGGACAGGGAGGGACATGGGCACAGTGACCTCAGAGCAGGGGGCCAGGGAGAGCAGTGAGGAGCCTCCCTGAACCCAACCACCACACCCATATCCACACCCACATCCTACCACTTGGAGCCAGAACTCATTAGACAGAAGGGGCTTCCAGTTGGATGTGTGGGGTGGCGGGGCGGTGGGGGCAGCAGGGAAGGCTGTGCTACTCTGCTGGCCATCAGAAAGCCCTGTATTCCTTGGCTTCTTCCTGCTCTCAAAATATTCTCCCAAAACTTTGTCCGTCACAAAAGAGGCCCCATATCTCTGAGACCAAGATGGCGCTACAGTTCAAGTAACTGACCTTGTCTTCAGAGACTGAGATGGAGGAGGGCCATGGCCTGGCCCAGCCCTCCACGGTTATGTTGGGGGGATGGCCAGGGCCAGGGTGAGGTGAGTACCACCCGGGTACCACTGATCAGTCACTGCCTCTGCCTCTTCCCCCCGCCCCCACACACCGCAGAAGGAGTACGTGGACCAGCTGTGGCTTGAGAAAGCAGAGGGGATGTTCTGTGTGGACTTGAGAGCCACCCTGCCCTGCCACAATCTGATCTGCCCACCATCCCTGCAGTTGCCCATGTGCGCCATGGGGGACATGGCCGAGGCCTGGTTCTGCCTGGAAAATGCGGGGTGAGGGCAGAGGCTGAGGCTTGGAGGTGGGAAGTGCGACAACTGGGAGGAGGATTCCTGGGAGCAGGAGAGACCGGTGTGTGGGGTGTGGAATGGGGTGTGGGAGTAAAGGGGGCATCTCTACCTTTCTGAAGCAGGGGCAGTGGTCAGAGGGGGCGAAGTGGCTCTGATCCACATCCCCCCCACCGCGTCCCACCCCCAGGGACCTGTCTACGTTCTTCACCTGGGAGTCCCCCAGCCCATTCCAGATGCTGCCGACCACAGGGCTGCTGGAACCAGGCCAGGCCTGCCGGATCAAGGTGACCTTCCAGCCCCTAATGGCTGTCATCTATGACGCTCAGGCCACGTGCTGGTATGGGGACGGCAGCAAGCAGAAGAGCAGCATCCAGCTGCAGGCTGTGGGTGAGGCCCGACCTCTCACCCGTCCCCAGAGCCCCCCGGCGCACCTCCCTGGGAAACAAAGCCTCCAGTGTGCTCCCCCCACCCCCGCCCTGGCCTGGCCCCCAAGGGACCTCCATCAGCCTCCCGCCCTTCGCTGAGCCCCACAGGCTCTGTCATCTCTTTGTTTCCCTTGGTGCCGCAGACCAGTGTTTCCCTGGTGACCCGTGTCTTCCTCGAAAGGGGCTATTCAGTTTGGGGCCACAGAGGCCCTGGTGGGTTTCTCCCCAAGGCTGTCCACTCTCTGCCCAGCCAAATGCGCCCAGCTGCTGGTGAGCATAAAGCAGAGGCACCCGGAGGACCAGGATGCCGAGGGCTTCCAGAAAGTGCTGCACTTTGGTTCCGTTGCCGTGGGCTGCACCGCCGAGAGGCAGATCAAGCTGTATAACCCATCGGCAGTACGTGTCCTGTGCACGCAGGGGGGGCGTGGGGCGGGGCTCGGGGCCACAGGCCTGGGTGCGCCTGACACCCACACCCTACCACATGCTGCAAGCCTCGCATACCTACGTCTGTTGATACACTCGTGTCGACAGGGGTCCTCTCATCATCTCAACTGGGGGCTGGACTGGACTATCCCTTGACCTCCCCCCAGAACAACCCTAAGAGCAGCCCTCAGGTGTCTTGATGCCAGGACCACTTCTAGCCCTCATGGTACCTTTGGGACAAGGCAGAGGTACCTGCTCTGGGCAGTCCCAGCGCAGGGCCCACGGATCAGCCCCTTCCCTCCTCTGGGCCGAGGCAGCCTTGCTCTACAATCGAAGCTGATGACTGAGGCAGAGGCAGGGCTTCAGCGGGGCACCTTGGTGATGACAGACCACTCCACCCTGTAACCGNCCCCCCCCCGCCCCCCACCTCCTCCGCCCAGGTCCTGACCTGTCACTGCAGCATCACTGTGTCGACTTCAGCTGGGTCAACCTCGGGACCCGCTCAGAGCAGTCCCTGTGGATGGAGAACAAGTCGGACTGCACCGCCTACTTCCACTTTGACATCGACTGTCAGGAGAGTGTCTTCAGCATCAGACCTGCCTTTGGGACCCTGGTGGGCAAGGCCCGCATGACCCTGTGCTGTGTCTTCCAGCCCACTCAACCCATCATCTACTGCCGGCGGGTGGCCTGTCTCATCCACCACCAGGTGACCTGCCGGGGAGGGGCGAGGAGGGGCGAGGAGGGGCTCCCGGAGAGGCCAATCCAAGGCCCAGTCATGAGGACAGGGCTCGGTGCTCAGTCACCTGTATTCTGGAACTTGTATGGCTTTCTCCTCCAGGGCCCCTGGCTTGGCTTTCAGAGCCAGAGGTTGACTAGGGGCAGGGGAGGGGCTCGCTTCGAGCCAGGTGGGCAGCCCTGTCTTGCCCTCACTGCTGCCAGGCCGGGACTTTGGCCCTCACCCCACGTAGCACGTGCAGGGCAGAGAGCCTTGAGGTGACAACCCAACCCGGGCCCCCGGACCAGGTGGTACACGCTGTGCCCTGATGAAGCTGGTCTCTGGCCAGGGTGGCGAGTGGAGGCTGACATCTAGCCTCACACAGAAAATGTCGTAGGACCCACTGTTCCTGGACCTGATTGGGACATGCCACTCGGAGAGCACCAAGCCAGCCATCCTCCGGCCTCAGCATCTCACATGGTACCGCACAAACCTGGCACGGGGCCTGACGTTCTATCCTCCCGACATCCTGGGTGTCATGCTGAGGGAGAGGAAGCTGGAGCAGGATAAGAACGGTGCCCTGATGATCCCCATTGAGGTTCGATGTGTCCCTCTGGGACCCCGGGGGGCTGTCCACCCTCCCAAGTTCACACCCCACCCTTCTCTAGCAATCCTTGGGCAGTCCCGCGCTCTGCAGTGCCGTGGGCATCGTTCGTAGTCAGGGGGTGTGACATGTGTGGAGCTCTTGTAGCCTTTTCCAGAAAGGAGCACAGAGATGAGGGGCAGCGGCTGGAGAACTGGCCCCCACCAACCCGGCTCTCCCCACACAGGACCTGGAGGACATACCGGCCCCGCAGTATCCCCTCATCCCCCCAATGACTGAGTACTTCTTCGACGGTACCAATGACGTGGCCATCTTTCCCCCGCCCGTCAGCATTGAGCCTGTTGAGGTGGATTTCGGTGCCTGCCCCAGGCCCAAGGACCCCAGTCCCGTCCCCCTGTGCCTGATGAACCATACCAATGGCAAGATCACTGTGGCCTGGACGCGCAGGGCTGACTGCCCCTTCTGGGTGACCCCAAACACCTGCGATGTGCCCCCTCTCAAGTCCACAGCCCTGCGCCTACACTTCCAGCCGCCTCACCCCAATGGCCTATATGCCGTGGAGCTTGAAGCCTTCGCCGCCTATAAGGTGTGTGGGGGCACACGGGACCGGGGAAGGTGGATTCTCTGCCCTGGAGCCTGAACGGCAGGGTGTGGGGTCGGAGGGGAGGGTGGCGTGAGGTGGGACCCGTGCTCTCTGTGCCGGGCTCTGCTCCCTCCTCTCCTGTGTCCTTGGCTGGACTTTGGCCTCGGTGGTCTGTCTTTCTCCCAGCTTCATGTCCTGCCTTGGCTGAGGGGCTTCTTGGCCCAGCTGATTATGTCTCCCTCACGTGTGCCTCCCACCCTCTCAGGAGGGAGAACTCAGTGGGGCTCAAGCCCTTCGGAAAATTCTGGTGCATGTAGTTTCCTGGGCCGCCTGGCTGGGGGGCTCCTGACCTCTCGCTAGTCCTTGAGGTAGGAAGTGGTCCTTCTGGAAGAGCCGAGGGCAGGACCTCCACCCTGGGGGGACAAAGCCTGGGGCACCCAGTAATTACGTGCGTGTAGGAAGGGGCTTCTCATCCGTCTTCCCTTGACCAGGTGGCCAGTCCAGCCTCTCAGCCCCAGGCATGTCACTCTCATTTCCAGTCCGTCCTCCCCTTTCCCTCCTCCTCTGCTCTGCCCACCTTGCTGTTCTCGCCCAGTGGCCGGGTGCTGGGGCTCCGGGAGGAGCAGAGCTGTGCAGTCAGGATCAGAGTCCCTCACCAGCTCTGTGACCTTGGGCTCCTCCCTTAGTGTATAGACCCCTGAGCTGTCTTTTCATCTATAAACTTGGGAGCATATCCAAACTTATGAGAAGTTTTTCCAAAGCTGAGTCTTTAGTTGCCTCTGTTCTAATATCTTGGCTGTGTGGGAACTCGGAAGTTTGTAGGAATGAGGCTGTGGATGTCTGGCTTGGCTGAGCTCGTCAGACTTTTAGGCTACAGGTTGCAGTTCTAAGCTGTCCGATATGCCAACCACCAGCCACATGTGGCCACTGAGCTCTTGAACTGTGTCTAGTCCAAACAGACACGCTGTCAAGGGAAGACGCTGATTTCTAGGACTTTGCACAAAAAGTATGCAAAATACCTCCTGCCTCACATATATATGCCCCATGTATGGTGATGCCATCATGTGCGTGCGTGCGTGCGAGCTCAGTCACTTCAGTCGTGTCTGACTCTTTCTGACCCCATGGACTGTAGACCACCAGGCTCCTCTCTCCATGGGGTTCTCCAGGCGAGAATACTGGTGGGTTGCCATGCTGTCCTCCAGGGGATCTTCCCGACCCGGGGATTGAACTCACAGCTGCCTGCTTCTCCTACATTGCAGGTGGATTCTTTACACACTGAGCCACATGGGAAGCCCAGTGCCACCATCTATATGCATCATGTACATATATGTATGTATATGTATGTGTATATATATGTGCATATGTATGTGTATGTATATATGTATAAGTATGTGTATGTATATGTGTATATGTATGTGTATATATATGTATGTGATGGCATCACCAGTGCAATGAACTTGGGCAAACTTTGGGAGATGGTAAGGGACAGAAAAACCTAGAATGCTATAGTCCATGGGGTCAAAAAAAGTCGGACATGACTGGGCAACTGAACAACAATAATACATACATACACAGATATATACAGGCTTCCAAAGTGGTGCTAGTGGTAAAGAACCTGCCTGCCAATGTAGGAGATGTAGAGAGGTGGGTTTAATCCCTGGGTCAGAAAGATTGCCCTAAAGGAGGAAATGGCAACCCACTCTAGTATTCTTGCCTGAAAAACCCCATGGACAAAGGAGCCTGGTGGGCTACAGTCCTGGGGTCTCAAAGAGTCAGACACAACTGAGCGACTAAGCATGCACACACGTATATTATGTATATGTAGGTATAATGTCGAAACAATACGATTTTGGATCTACTCAGTTAAATAAAATATATTGTTGAAATAAATTTTATGTGTTTTACCTTGTCGATGTGGCTACTAGAACATTTAAAATGATGTTTGCGGCTCGCACTTGCGGCTTGCATTCTGTTTCTATTGGCCAGTGCTCTCTGGGCACATTCCTGCAGGATGAATGCTGCTTTCACATCCCAGCCCCACCCTCGTCCTGCTGGGAGGATTAGAGAGCGTGTTTGCTGACTGCTTGGTGCTGCGTGTCCAATGTGGGGCCTGGCGCACAGCGGGAGGGGCTCCTGTGGCTGTGGTTCCCCCACTGTCTTCCCAGGGGGCCCCTCCCCCTGGACCCCATGTAGGGTACCTGCAGTGCATGGGGCAGGCTGGGGTGCCCCACCAGGTCAGACACCGCGGTCGTGGGTGTGGTCGTCCCACAGGTCCTGCGAAGCTACAACAACATTGAGGAGGACTGCACGGTGTGCCCGTCCTGGTGCTTGACGCTCCGGGCGCAAGGCCACAGCTATTGCCCTGGCTTGGAGCACCACATCCCCCAATACACCCTGGACGCCCCCAAGGTGAGCGTGGCCCCAGCCGCAGTGGGAGGTGGGACATGGGGCTTGGCTCTGCCGTGGCCTGCAGATCCCTCCCATCTCTGGTGGTCTCAGAAGCACGTCCAGTGCTCTCCCTGGCCGTCCCAACCTCCCCACCACCAGCCCCTCGGGCTCTGCACCCATCTTGAAGGACTGTCTCCTGGACCACTGCAGTGGGACTGGGAAGAGTCTGGGGCTTGGACCACTGGCTCTGGCCTGCTCCATCTGAAACAGTTCCCCCGCCCTCTCACGCTCAGCTTTAAAGTCTCCAACTCCTCTGTTTGCATGTTAACTGAGCGCTTGCTGGGAATAGGACCTCCCAGGCCATGAGCCCCTGCCCTCAGGGATCATCCAGCCCAGCAAGTGTCTCAAGTGTGGCCCTTTAGCTTAACCCTGTCCTGAGGGAGTCATCATTCCCAGGTCTCTCCAGCAGGGTCCTTGGAGGCCCTGTCTGACCTGAGCCCCAGGATGACATAAAGTTGAGAAACACAGACTCTGGAGCCAGATGGCCAAGTGCCAGTTCTGGTTCCCCCTTCAATGCCTCTTCCCAGCTTCTATTGCCATCATCAGTCTTTTCATCCAGCTGCTCCACCCTCCTGTCTCACGCTTGCTGGAAAGACATTACTTTTGCACTGTGTGTTTGGGGGTGATCTTGCCCCCTAACTGTTACACTGCTGCTCAAGGGCACCGCTTCCCACAGCCCTCCTGACTTCCCTAGGGTCTCCTTACTGACCCACCCCCCCAGCCCCTGCCCCTTTCCCTTGGCCAGTTCCTTATAGCAGTTGTGGCCTTTACTGAAATCCAGCAGAATTCTGGACCCATGTTGCCCACATACCCCTCGCCCGCACCTCATGCAGCTATGCTCTTTGTCCCAGCTGGAGGGGGCACCCGGGCCAGCAATTTCAGCTGCGCATTTGGTAGCCAACCCAGCTCTTTGCCTCGTGCTGGCCACACCCTAGATGCCTGAGGGATGTTTGGGACTGCTGGGGCTTTCCCTTTCCCAGAGTGGGGCTCCCCCGTTCCCCCCACCAAGGCTGCCTGCCTGAGAATTACCTAGAAGGGGCTGCTTACCCCGGAGCTTCTGCACCTGCTTCTCTGAAATGGGGATCTCCAAAAGATGATTTGTGGGCACTTTAAGAGCCCCAGTGGCTCAGGCAGTAAAGAATCCACCTGCCAATGCAGGAGACACAGAAGATATGGGTTCGATCCCTGGGTCAGGAAGATCCCCTGGAGGAGGAAATGGTAACCCACTCCAGTATTCTTGCCTGGGAAATCCCCTGGACAGAAGAGCCTGGAGGGCTACAGTCTATGGGGTCCCAAAGAGTTGGACACACCTGAGCAACTGAACAACAAGATGAAAAAAACTTGTGGTGGTGGGGTCCTGGGGTCCTGAATTTCCTGGAGCCAGTCCCTATGGCTGTTCCATCTCCTTGCCTGGATGTCTGTGGAGATTAGAAGCATTTTGGGGGGGCCCGAGCTGTGTCCCTCCATTCCCTGCCCCCAGGGCACTGACAAGGTTGTGCGAGGGCATCTTGGGCCTCCTGGGAGATGGCTTCACCCATGCCCACACAGACCACCTGGAGTGTGCGTGTGGGGTGGGGCTGGGAAGGGTGTGCAGATCTGAGCCTGGGCCCCTCCTCTCTTGCACCCCAGCTCTTTCCTGCAGTGTCCCCCAGCGAACCCTCCTACCGCAGCCTGCTCCTCGTCAACAAAGGCTCCATGCTGCTCACCTACAGCCTGGCCCCCAAAAGCAGCTTGGACATCTCCCTGCGGCCCAGCTCGGGTCTCGTGGGCCCTGGGGCCCACAAGATCCTCCTCACCTATACCTACCCTAAGGGCAGCTCCTGGAAGCAGCACGTTTTCTACCTGCAGTTCAATTCCTGCCCCCAGTACCTCAAGGTAGGTGGTGGGAGTAGGGACTGGATCCTTGGCAGGGGGCCAGAGTCTGGCACTTCCCTTTTCAAAGCCGCATTCTGGGACTGGCCTTTAAAGCTCCCCTAAAATAGCTCAGGGGGTGCTCCCGGTCCAGGCAATGGCACGGCAGGGAGAGGATCCCTGGGCCATGTCTGGGAACGGCTCTGCCCAGGACTCTGCCTGTCCACTTATAGGATCCGGAGCAAGAAAAAGGGGTGCAAGGATCCCCAAGGAAGGAGTAAGGGCAACCCAAGACTCATGACTACAGATGGTAGAAGGGTGTTTGGGGCTGGGCCAGGGAAAGGGTCCGAGGTTTTTAGACTCACGTCTGGCCAATGAAATGGTCTGTACATCCTTTTTCGGTCCCTAACTTCTTTTCAAGAACCATCTCCTGTTCAGTCACTGCGTATGTACTCTGCCTTTGACAGAACCTGCCCGTACCCAGGGCCCAGGGTGGAGCAGCTTTTGCTGCTCTCTCCGAGGGAGAAAAGCTGCCCACCCGTGATCTTTGGGGGAGCCAGGGCCTCAGGGCGATGTCAGGGCACTGTCCTCCCTTCACTGGCCCCAGGAAGTGACCATGCAGAGCCGTGAGGAGCCGCTGCAGCTGAAGCTGGACACCCATAAAAGCGTCTTTTTCAAGCCCACCTGGGTGGGTTGCTCCTCCACCAGCCTCTTCACCTTCCGAAACCCCTCCCGTCTGCCCCTGGAATTTGAGTGGAGGGTCTCTCAGCAGCACCGAAAGATGCTGGCTGTCCAGCCCGCCAGAGGGATTATCCAGCCCAACGAGAGCCTTGTGAGTGCCTTGCCGAGAGCGGGAGGGAAGGATACCCATCATCCTCACCTTCACCATCATCTCTTACTCATGTCTCTCTGGGGCCAGGCTCACCCCTCCATCCAAGCCACAGTCATTTCTTCCAGCCTTATGCGTAGGTATGACTGTTACCATCATCTTCACCCCCATTTTACAAAGAAGAATTGAGACTTGGGTTGGGAGGAAACCATTTACTAAGACTGTGAATTAAGAGGTGCAGAGCTGGGACTTAAACCCGGGTTTCTGGTGTCAGTGCCCAGGGGCAAGTCCATCCTCCATCCTCGGTCCCCCAAAGCTGCGAGGTGGTGCGGAGCACCTGGATTTGGGGCTAATGGGTGGCTGTCATTAAGGAGTGAGGAAGGGAGCTTCTGGAGGTCAAAGCGGTAGGTCCTTGTGTGGGGGGCACAGGTGAGACCCAAACTAGCAGAGCCCCAGCCCTGGTTTAGGGTCTCCTAGTCAAGGAGGCCAAGCTTGAGCTGAGAACCACCAACATACACTGTCTGTTAGAGCCCGGGGGTAGTACTCTGTAAGGCAAGAGACCACACAGACTCTGGAGTCCAGCCTCAAAAGTTCACATCCCCAGCTCCCACCACGTGCCCTCGTCAGCTGTGTGACCTTGGGAGAGTTACCCTGCTTCTCTGCATCTCCAGTTTCTCATCAGACAAAGAGACACTAAAATAATACCACTTACTTCTGGGGATAAGTGAATGAAGGCCCGAGGGAGATGACAGAGTACACAGTGTGTGTAAGTGGCTGGCTCAGGGCGACACTCAGAAAGGTTTTCCATAGCTTGATGTTCTGCAGTGGAACCTCAGGCATCCAAGAGCTGCGCGGGGGTTCCCAGAGACCCCCCCCATAGGGATAATGTCTGTGACCCCAGACGCTGACCTGGACCTTCAGCCCTCTGGAGGAGACCAAGTACCTGTTCCGAGTGGGGATGTGGGTCTGGGAAGCCGGCCTGCCCCCAAACACCAAGCCCTCCACCACCACCCACTACGTGCTCCGGCTGGTGGGCACGGGCATCACCAGCAGCCTGTCCGTGAGTGGGTGCTGCCTGGCGGGTGCGGGGAGGGGGAGGGGAGGAGGTGGGTTCACACTGGTTAACTGGACCATGGTCTGGGGACAGGGCTTGAAACTTGGTGCTTCCACTTGCTAGATGTGTGGGGTTGGAGGGTGATTGTCCTCTCCGAGCCTCAGTTCCCTCATCTGTAAAATGGGGCTACTGGTGGTGCCTACCTCCCAGGGCATTTGGGTGGAGCAAAGTGCTTAGCAGGTGCCAGTGACCCCAAGACTGGTCCCCACTGTCTTGGTCTGGAGGAAGCTCTCTGCTCCCCATTTCCTGGATCAGAGCCTGCTCTCTAATCAGAGCTCTGCTGGCCCAGGGGAGAGTGGCGGGGACTGGTGAGAGGCAAGGCTGGGCCTCTCTGGGCTGCGCTGGGGCCCTCCTCTTCTTCGACCCCACCCGGCTGCCTCTGACCCCACCCGGCCGCCCCGAGCAGCTCTGCAGCTGGACCGCACAGAGGGGAGCATGCCGCCCCGGTCCCAGGACACCATCTGCCTGACTGCCTGTCCCAAACACCGGTCCCAGTACTCCTGGACCATCAGTTATGCTCTCGTCTCCCACAGAGGTACCTGGGCCATCTGGCAGGGGTGTCAGGGCCAGGGAGGAAAGGCGGGGGGCTGTGTGAGCAGGACTTGGGGTGGGAGGATGCCAAGAGTCCAGACAGAGCTGGCAGGATGGATGTGAACATGCTAGGATGTGCTTTTGGGTGTCTAGTGTACATGCCTCATACCAACCACACCTGTCAGTGTGGGTGTCCACATATGCGTGCCTGAGCTGTGGAGGACTCGGTGTGAAGAGTTGGGCACTGTGTTTACCTACTGAGGGATCTCAGGTAACTCCTCAGCTGCCTTGGGTCTCAGCTTCCTCCCTCATAAAACCAGGTTGTTGCCAGCCTGCGCCGGGGCCACCTGGTGGGAGTCCAGGACAGCACAGTCAGGGGAGCACAGGAGAGTGAGTGGCTGAGAGTGTGGGCTCCCTGGAACTGGATCCTGGCCCCAGCACTTACTAGCCGTGTAACCTCAGCAAAGTTGTTTAACTTCCCTATGCCTCAGTTTCCACATCAGTAAAATGGGGATAATAATGGTGCACTAGCAAAAAAAAAAAAAGTACAGATACATGTTACCACATGGGCAAACCTCGAAAACATTATGCCAAGTGAAAGAAGCCAGTCACCAAAAGCCACACGTTGTATGATTCTGTTTATGTGAAATACCCAAAATGGGAAAATCTAGAGGCAGAAAGTAGATTAGTGGTTGCCAGGGGTGGGGAGAGGGGTGAATGGAGAGTGACAGCTACTTAGTACTGGGTTTGTTTTGGGAAGCCTGAAAATGTTCTACAGTCAGTGATGACGGTTGTGCAACTCTGTGAATATACGAAAAAAATCACTGCATTGTGTGTGTTGAAAGGGTTAATTTTGGGGACTTCCCTGGCAGTCCAGGGGTTAAAGCTTTGCACTTCCACTGCAGGGGGCACCCGGTTCGATCCCTGGTCGGGGAACTAAGATCCCACATGCCACATGATGCAACCAAAAAATTCTTTCTAATATTTTTGGCTGCACTGCATGGCATGTAAGTTCCTATTAACCTGACCAGGAATCGAACCGGTGCCCCCTGCGGTTGAAGCACAGAACCTTAATCACTGGACTGCCAGAGAAGTCCCCTCAAAAATGTTTTTAAAAGGTTAATTTTATGGTATATAGATTATATCTCAATAAAGCCATTAGTAAGTTGAAAATGAATAACAATGCACATTAAATACAGTGGTGTTTGCCAAGCGCTTAGGACAGTGCTTGGTTCACATAGAAAGTATCAGATAAGGTTTGGCTGTTGTTGGAAGTGTCCCTGGAGTCTGCTCCTGGCTAGGGTCCCGGGCCAGGTTGCCCAGGACCCCTGCACCCACAGTGTGTACTCCCCTCCCCAGGGGAGCTGGCAGGTGAGCCCACCCCTCTCTCCCATACCCCTACAGATAACAAGGCTGGGGAGAAGCAGGAGCTGTGTCACGTGTCCCTGACGGCCGTGTACCCCCTCCTCTCCATCCTGGATATCTGCTCCATGGGCAGCGCCGAGGGCATCACCCGGAAACACCTGTGGCACCTCTTCTCCCTGGACCTGCTCAACAGTTACTTGGAGCGTGATCCCACCCCCTGGGAACTCACCTACAAGGTGCCCACCCGGCACAGGTGAGGTGGGCCTGGGGGAGAGGCAGAGCCTGTCTGGGAATGTTCTTGGAGCAATATTCCACTCATGCCCCCAGCACCAGGCCTTGTCCAAGAAGGGACTCCCTATCTACACCCCCCCCAACCAATGTCTGCCCATCTCTGGTGGGGCCTGGAGAAGGCTGAGATTCACTTGAGGTCTCAAATGCTGACCCACCCCTGTGCCTGAGTCCCACATTCTCCAGTTCCCCACTGTGGGGAGATGGGTGCCAAGCCAGCCACCCCTGGAAGGACTCCAGCCTGTCCCCAACCCTGTCCCAGACCATTTCTCTGCTCCACACAGCACCAGCCGGATCCCCCCTGTCTTCACCGCTCTGAAGCTCAATTTCAATTTTGGGGCAGCACCGATAGATGCCCCGCCCTCCGTGGTGCTCCTGGCACTGAAGAACAGCGGCATGGTGCCCCTGGACTGGTATGGAGTGGGGTACTGGGGGACAGGGGCTGGAGGTGTTCTCTGGCTCATTGTAGCCCTGGCCACCTGGTGTCCATGAAGTGTGCCCCTGACCCCGCGCATTGATTGGATGTAGACGCCAGGGTAGGACTAGGGTCGCCCAACGGGACATCAGATCTGGCTGTCACGTCCATAGGCTCAGAAGTGGTAGACTCACCCTGATGGAGATTGGCAGTTGTTTAATCACTTCGTCGTGTCCGACTCCTTTGCGATCCCATGGTCTATAGCCCGCCAGGTTCCTCTGTCCATGGGATTTCCCAGACCAGCATTCTAGAGCGAGTTGCCATTTCCTTCTCCAGGACATCTTCCCCACCCAGGGACTGAACCCCCATCTCCTGCATTGGCAGGCAGATTCTTTACTGCTGAGTCTGGCCGGGGCAACGTCAAAGCTCAGCGAGTGAGAGGTAGCCACCACACATGCGCCACAGCTGGCCACTAGGCCCCTCTTCTCCGAGCTTCACACCAACCCTGTGAAAAATCCTCCTCCGCTGACAGTCTCACAGATGGGAGGCTGACTCAGGCAAGAGCTCTCAGCCGTTAGAGGCAGAGCCAGTTCCCACCCAGACCTGTCCGGGTCCAGAGCCCGCACCTCCACAGGCTAGTCAGCAAGAAGCTACAGGGTGCCCTGAGCACTGAGCTAGGTGCTGGGGCAGCCCCGACAGGGTCCCAGGCCAGCGGGGGCCGGGCCTGCATGGGGCGAGTTGAGGGTCTCTGGCAGGCTCTGCTGCCGCAGCGCCAGTGTCAGGGAAATGGCTGAGCTGAGCAAAGCTACGTGGGGCTGCAGGAAGAGTCCGGGCTGGACACGGAGCCGCTGCGCTTCCCGGTCACACAGGGCCCAGGCCTGGAGACCTGAGTCCTCCACGCTGGGCCCCTCCTGTGCTTGGCTTAACTCCCACGGGGGCCCCGAACTGGTGCCCAGTTAGCATCCTGTCTCCGTGCCAGCACCGTTTCTTTCTTTCCTCCCTGCCTCTGCCACGCACCTTCATTTCCCAGGAAACTTCCTTTTGATGACTTCCAACTTTGCTTGGCTAGACGGAGGTGAGAAAGAAGTGTCCCCATCTGGGTCAGACTTGGGGGCGGGGCGGTGGGAAGAGAGCCAGGGGCCCAGCCTGGGCGTGGCAGTGGGTGGATGAGAGTGGACATAGGCATCTGTGATCTCAAGAGCCTTGGGGTGCATGTGGGTGAGACGGGGGGGCTGTATTGTCCCCCGTGCAGTGGCCGCCCCTTGCTCTCTGGGTTTTCCTGTCCCTCCCTGTGTTGGAGGAGGGGGAGCTGGTTCGTTAAACAGCTTCTGTCTGAGAAGGGCTGGGACTGGAGTAACTAAGGGCTCCTGGCCCTGAGTGACTGGGAAGCTTGGCAGGCTGTGGCCTGGTGGGGAAGGCCCGGGGCCTGCCTGGAGCGCTGCGTCAGCCATTCACTGAGCTGTTTGAATGGCCAGGAGCCAAGGCCCTGCAGGGCTCGGGAGTGGGGGCAGGAGAAGCGGCGTTGGCCGGTGTCCTGGTGTGGAGCAGTGTATTTTGGTGGACTGTGTGTGCATGTGTGTTTGTGCAGAAGCACGCCAGCTCTCACTCTCAGTGGAGAGGGTCCAGGTGGCTGGAAATCGGGCAGGAGGAAAGCCAGGCAGAGTGCCCACTGAGCCGGGCCCGTCCATCGGGAGATCGTCTGAGGTTCAGGAAGGCAGTCCGTGCTTCTTCCTAGATTCCAAACGCAGGGAACCTTCCTAGGAACGCTTGACTCGCCTCGGCTTTTTGTGGTGTTGTGTTTCCTTTCAGTTTCTTAGAAGGCTATTTTTAAAAATTCTAGCTGAGTCTCTGTTAAACTCATAAGGAACAGACCGAAGGTTTTATTCCTGCCAAGATCAGTAAGAAACGGGGAGTGTGGACTTGGCCTGGAGGCAGCAGCAGGCAGGACAGAGAACCCCAAGTGGGTTTGGGGGGAGCATCGGGGAGGGGGGAGCTGGGAGCCATGCTGCTGCCGCGCCCCCACCAAGCCTCCTCTGCTGCCTCTGAGCTTGGCCCGGGAAGATGTTGGGCCGTGCGTTTAAAGGGTGATCCCTCTCAGGCGTCAGGTGCATGGGTTAACGTCATCTGTTCCCTCATTCATCTACTAAGCCATTGACAAGTGTGGACTGGGGCTTCCTAGGTGCAGGCCTCAGGCCCAGAGCTCAGAAGAGAAAAGGGGACTCGCCTAGGCCCTGCCCTCCCGGTGGGCAGACCGGCCTTGTGGTTCGTGGTGAGTGACATGCTGTGAAAGACCCTTGTGCAGCGTCAAGAGCTACTTCCCTCGGGTTTAGAAGTGGTGGAAGCGTGTGCACAGCTCAGAAACGCTTCCTGGAGAAAGCGAGACCTGTAGGCCAGGGAGCAGAGGCAGAGAGCCTTCGGAGAGCCTTCTAGACAGAGGGCGTGGTGCAGACACGGGTAAGAGAAAAAGGCACTGCATGGCTGTAACATTGATAGGGATGTGGGCAGGGCCTTGGGGTCCTCTGCTGGGCATGTAATGCTTCTCCTTCTGAGGAGGATTAGCGGTTCGAGGCAGGGGGACAGGTTGGCAGCTTTCCACAGTCCCAAGCTGGGGGCCCACACCAGAGGACTGGCAGGGATTATTTGGAGGGAGTTGGGGGTAGAGCCAAGAGGGAAACTGCAGACAAACCTGAAGTAGCAAGGTTGCTAGTTTTGCTACGGATCAATATCCTGCAGATAAAAAACAGAAGAAAGTAACAAGTAATGGTAACAAGTCCAACGACCCAAGGGTGATGGAAGAAAAGTAAGAACCACCCCCCTCCAGCTCCCTCTCCAGTCGGCCCTGATGGGCTTGGCATGTGCTTCCACTCTCAGTGCTGGTACAAGGCACCGACACTCGGACACAGTTACTCTTCCATGTTTTATTACGATAATGGCATGATGTTACATGTATTACTCTATGTTCAGCATTATAACAATAACATTGTCACCCAACCTTATGTCAGTAATATTCATTTTTAGATCAATAAAGGTCAGTATATAGAGATGTAACTCATTCATTTTAATAGTTGCATAATATCCCGTAATATGAAAGGACCTTATGTCTATTTTGTTTTGTTAATTTTTTAATTCTTGGTATTAAAATTTTTTTAAATTGTCTGACCATGCCACATGGCATGTGGGATCTTAGCTCCTCGACCCAGGATTGAACCCATGTCCCTTGCACTGGAAGTGTGGAGTCTTAACCACTGGACTGTCGGGGAAGCCTTTGTGTTTTTAAACCTCTCCTTTCAGATGACACTAGTTGTTCCCAGTGCCTTTTAATGTTTTTTTTTTTTTTTTACCATCACTAACAAAGTTGTAATAAACATCCTTGTGTGTGTGTGTGTGTGTGTGCGCGTGCGTGTGTGCCTGCCTGCATGCATGCTTACATTTTTACCCCTGCAAGTTAATTCCCCCAAATAGAATTTCTGAATCAAAGGGCATTTTCTATTCTATGCACTTTCTATTCTAAAAGATGCTATCAAAATTCCTGCAACAAAAGATGGGAGCAATTCCTTCTCTCCCTGTATTTGAGGATGTCTGTCCTTCCTAAACTTACCAGCATCGAATGTAACTGTTTTTCACGATTCAGATGTGAAAATACTTAAGATTGATTTGAGGGAATTTTGATATGCCTTTTCCTGACTCTCCTTGAGTCTTTTCAGGTGTGATGCCCATTTTTCCCCGCTTCTGGCTATTCTCTGTTCATATACTCTGCCCAGTTTGAGGCCAGTTCATCCCTCTGAGAGTGGATGGAGCCTTCTTTTCAGATTATGATCTTGGGATCCCTTTGTCACTTATCTGGGCACCTTTTAGAATGCAATATCTGCTTTACTGGAGCACCCGGCATCACAGGGGCACTGATTCTATGCCCAGCCTTGCTTTGGACTCAAAAGTGCCAGTCTTCTTGGGACCCCCTAGTTGGTGCTGCTCACATTCCTAGGTGCCTCAAATGGCCCTTCATAAGTGCTTTGTCACACAGACCACTCCAGGGTCACTGCCAAGCTCAGAGTGGCCAAATATACAAGCAGCCCCTTGACCCCTGGTACCCACAATGGGAGCCCCATTTTCCATTCTCCATTTAGTCACTGCTTCTGTTCCTAGGTTTGGGGGCCATTATGAAATGAGAATCCACAACCTCAGTGTTTGCTCAGCCTTGCATGGGACAACCTGCCTAGTGGGGGAGAAGAGGGGGAGGTAATAGAGGAGGCCTCCGTGCATCCCACCTGGGGCTCAGAGCTCCTGCCTCTGGTCTGACTGAGAGGCTCCTCCACCCTTCTGCTTTGCACCCCTCCCCCAGGGCCTTCCTCTTCCCGAGGGACCAGCAGATCGACCTGGAGCTCTGGGCAGAGCAGGCCGAGTTTGATTGCACGGAGCTGCACCAGATGCGCGTGCAAGACAATTGCATCTTCTCCATCAGCCCCAAGACTGGGAGCCTGAGTCCCGGGCAAGAGCAGATGGTAGAGCTCAAATACAGGTGCTGCCCCCACTGCTCACCCCGCCCTTCCAGTCCTGAAGACCTCCATTCCCCCAACTCTTGGAGGAGCCTGGCCTTACACTGTGTGACTCCAGGGTACCCTGAGTGGCCACCACCCTGAGAAGGTGTTGCCTTCCTACCTGCAAGGGAGGTTTAATTTTCCTCTTGCCCCATCCCAGCTCAGGGATTTCCACATAGCCAGCCCAAAGCCACAAGCGTGCCATGACCCTTTGTTCTTCCACCCACACCAAGGTTCAGTAAGTCATCCTGGACTGTCTCCTCCCTTCCAGCCATCTATTCATCGGCACTGATCGCCTCCCGGTGCTCTTCAAGGTGTCCCATGGCCGGGAGATCCTGGTGAGGTCCTACCCTTGTCCTGTCCTGGAAAGCCTAGAGAGCAACACAAGGAGCACCGTTCCCTGGGGAACTGGGGTCCCCATCTCTCCACTGGGTACGTCAGTGCCTCCCAGGGAAGGATGCTACTCATGGGCTTTCTATTTCCAGCTCAATTTCATAGGTGTGACGGTGAAGCTGGAGCAGAAGTATGTGCACTTCACCTCCACCAGCCATCAGTTCATCCCTGTCCCCATCGGCGACACATTGCCCCCGAGGCAGGTCAGTGGTCGACGTTGTCCTGGTCACCAGGATGCTTAAGTGTTGTTCTCTGTGTGTCTGCATCAGCCCATGACAGGATGACAAGGCCCCTGTCCTCGCTCAAAGAGGTGGGATTGCAGGTTGAACCTCAAGATTGGGCAACTGGGAGAGACCCAAGGCGAGGTTTCAGCTTCTAGGCACTGGTGCTAAGCCCTTTGCCAGGCCCCATTCTCATGCAGAAGCAGGGGGTTCCTTCCTCTAACACAGGGTTTTCAAGCTTGACCATGAACCACAGTATATTTTGGAAAACCCAGTTCATACACACATTCACATCCAACCGAAACAAAACTATCACAAATCAATATGTATACCACTACATGCTGAGTGCTCTGATGTTTTCTTTTGTATTCTGTTCCACTTTTTAAATGCCAGATGTGACCTGATAAACTGGTTTCAGTGCACCTGCTTACTAATGGTTGTCGGTCACATCTTGAAAATCACTGCTCCAAAAAGGGCATCTTTCCAGAGGCTGAAATGCTAGAAAGTGAATCCTCATGTAGCTACAGAATTGTCTTTATTAATTGGAGGGAACCAGGTTCCTTCATTCTGAAAACATATGCTGGCAATCTCCCAGAGGGAGATGTAGAATTTTTCCAAACATTTCACAGCTCTGAAATTTCTAATCATTTAGATGCCCTTGTGTTTCTGGGCAGGGACCTCCAGACACTCAGACGGGAGCAAAATAAAAGGGCTTCCTAGACCAGAGAGAGGGTCTCATGGCCCCGGGCTCTGCTCACTTCCTTACACAACCCCTCTACCCACTGGCTTCCCAGAAGCCTCACCCAGAAGCCCAGGCCCTCAAAAAGACAAGCAAAGACTCATAAGCTTCCTGGAGAGCTTTCCAGAGAGACCAGACCACTTCCCTGTGACACTGAACACAGACAGTGGGAAATGGGCAAAGAAGACCAACTTGTACCTCCAACCGAACTCCACAACTCCTTTCATTCATAAGATGATGACAGATGATGGCTGGGACCTGCAAGAAGGCAGCAGAAACAGAGGGAATGAACAGATTTAATCTACATTTTAAAGACAGAATCACTGGGGCTTGCTGGGGATTATATCTGGAAAGTAAGAGAAGGGGATGGAGGAAAATGTATTTGATTTCTACTTTGAACTACTGGGAGTATGTAGGTGCCATTTGCTGAAATGAGACACACTAGGGGAGGAATAGGTTGTAAAGAATTTGGTCTTGGCCAAATGTAAGATGCCTATGAAACAACAAGGAGGAGTCATCAAATAGAAGTTGGATACCGGGTCTGAAGCTCAGACAGCAGTCCAAGCTACAGGAAAAAAGTACATTCAGGAGTGGGTGCTGAGAAAAATAAGGGGGCTGAACCTAAATCCAGATAAGCTCTTTATTCTCACTGTCTTCTTTCTCTCATCTCTAACATGGAGCCTTGGACCAGAAGACCTCTGGTTTCAGGCAGGACGTTCTGTGACTCCCCAACTTCGGGGTTAGTCTTGGGGGACCTCATACCTTCCTTCTGCTCCCTTTTCTGCCTTTAAGCATAACTGCCTCTAATGGCAGAGGTGGAAAGTGGCAGCCTCCCAGGTAATTAGAGTGAGAGCCTAGAAAACCATGAAGGGTCCGGATGATGAGTGCATGGACGTTTCCCTAAATTCCAACACTATGGACACAAGCATTAGGGTCCCCTTACACTTGACTTAGGTAAGTTGAGAGCAAATAATATAAAGATTACATATTATACTAAAATGTTACAGGCTGAAAATACAGTTGTATACTTCATGGATGATCCAGCCAGAAGGAAAATCAGAAGTTTTTAGGGGAACCCTGGGACTGTAAGGGTGACGTCACGGAGATCAACCCACCCTCCCACAGTGAACACAGAATCCCAGACTCCCTGCGTGGTGGCCTTGATCAGCTGTGAAGATTCCTCTATTCCTCCCCCTGCAGATTTATGAGTTGTATAATGGTGGCTCGGTGCCTGTAACATATGAGATCCAGACCAACATCCTGTCACAGGTTCAGGAAAAAAACTTTGATCACCCCATCTTCTACTGCCTCAACCCCAAAGGGGAGATCCAGCCAGGGACAACTGCCCAGGTCTTCTGGATCTTCTCGCCTATTGAGGCCAAGACCTACACAGTGAGCAGAAGCCCTGGCTCACACAGGGTGGGGGTTTGGAGGTGGCCGCCCCCCAGCAGGCCTTGCTCTGACCAGGGCCTGCAGCCACCTTCCTAACCTCCCAGGTCGATGTGCCCATACACATCCTGGGATGGAACTCGGCCGTCATCCGCTTCCAGGGAGTGGGCTACGACCCCCACGTCCTGGGGGACGCGGCCCCGTCCCACAGCCTCTCCTTGTGGGACAACAGCGCCATCCACTCAAGGCTGATGGTTCCTGGGCAGGTAAGGCAAAGGGAGCTGGGAAGGCCTGAAGCCTAGGTGGAGCCTGAGGGCCCAGGGTGGCTGGCGCGGCTGGACGAGGAGGTAGAAGGAAATGACACAGAGTTGAAAAAGGAGAGGGATATGGAGGTGAAGTCTGGAACCGATCCTCCATGTTTGGGATGCAGCACCGGCTCCATGAGAGGCTTACCCTGCCACCTAGCGCCCACAGGTGTTCCTGCTCAAGACGCTCCACCTGCTGCAGGGCCTCCATTCACCCTCGCTGCCGGGCATTTGGGGTGGGCACTGGAAGGGGTAGAAAGAAGCTATTCTAGGGCTCTGAGATATTATCTTCATACAGAACAGCCTCTCCCTTGGATCTAGATGGATTTTGCTGAAAGATACCTAGGGTCAGTAACACTACCTTTAGTTCACACACTTCTCACTGTTTCGAGGCCTGCCACATTCATCCATCCACCGTCCATGTATTTCCCCACTGACCCACATGCCCATTTACTCATCCCCATATCTATCCACCCATCCATCCATCCAACCATCCATGCACTCATCCAGTTACTATCCACCAATACATCTGCCTGTCTACTCTTCCCCTTCTTCCCTATTTGGTCTCTTACTGAAGGATGAATACCATGGAGGACACAGTTTTGGGGACACAGAAAAGTGCCAGACAGTCTCAGCTCTGGAGGCACTCAGGATCCCCCCTTCCATGGCCTGTCTTTCCAGAAGCCCCTACCACACAACTCCTGCTCTGTGCCCGATGAAGATGCCAACAGCTGACCACCTATTAGTTCACAACTACCCTTCAGAGACTCAAATTATATTGGCCTTGCTTCTGCTTTTTCTAAGCAAATTCTGATTTCTCAGCCCTTTCAAGCCTATTTTTAGTGGTCAAAACCATAGGCTTTAGAGTAATACTGTCTGGGTTTATCCTAGAGACCTTTGGAAAATTATTTATACTCTCTGAACATCTATAAAGTGGGGACAATAGTGGTGCCCATATCCTTGGGCCACTGTGAGAATTAAATGCATGTCAGTTGCCTACAAGGGTACCTGGCCTGTTGAAAGCACTTGTGACTGGTACTGATGGCTAGGCTTAGTACTTCTTCACCTCCCAAAGTTGCTGTTGTGTTGTCTCCACCAACAGAATGTCCTCCTATCCCAGTCACATATCTCCCTGGGAAACATTCCCGTGCAGAGCAAGTGCAGCCGCCTGCTATTCCTCAACAACATCTCCAAGAACGAGACAGTTATCTTTGCCTGGCAGCTGAAGCCTCTAGACTTTGGGGAGGTGAGAGCTCCCTGTGTTTGCAGGGAACCAGAACCTTCAGAGGGCCTCTAGACTTATCCCATTCCATCCCACCCCACCCCACTCCATCCCATCCCACCCCACTCTATCCCATCCCACCCCATTCCACGCCATCCCATCCCCCCCATTCCACTCTATTCCATCCCACTTCATCTCACTCCATCCCATCCCACTCCATCCCATTCCATCTCATTCCACTCCGTCCTACTCCATCCCATCCCTACTCCATCCCCTCACACCCCATCCCACTTCATCCCACCCCACTTCATCCCACCCCACTTCATCCCACCCCATCCCATCCTGTGCTATCCCATCTTGTCCCATCCCATCCCTGTGAGGCTCCAGAGAGACTCCTTCCCCAAATATAAATAGGTGTCTGTGAGTCCTATGAAAGGAAAGGTGGCTCCCGAAGAGACAATCCCATTCATAGTGACCCTGAAGGCCTCAGTGCATGCCAGCTTCTATAGCATGGACCTGATATGCAAGGTAGGACCACTCTCAGAGAGAAGCTGGGATGGCACACAGCTCCCAGTCTTGGGGGGGGGGTGCGGTGGTCTGTGAGATCCTCAGATACCCCCCAAGGCCCCTCTTCCAAGGGCCAACATCTGGAAAAGTGGGGGGCCCACAGCACAGGCCCAGGCCAAGGCCCTCCAGACCTGGTCTTCTCTCTCCTTGTCCTGAGCCACAGGTGTACCAACAGGAACACCTGAGGCAGTACCGTAAGGAACTGCAGGAGTGGAAGGATGAGAAACTGCGGCAGGAAGTGGAGTTCACCATCACAGATAGGAAAGTGAAGGTGAGGAGGGCAGAGTGGGCTCTGAACACCACAGAGCCTTCTGATTAGCCTTGCCAGAGGGGACAGAGGTGGTGATCCAAGGTGGTCCTAAAAGCTGACCAGCTTGACATAAGAGATTAGATTTCTTTTATTAGACTAAGCATAGCCCCTCCCAAGAAACTGTGGATACAGAAAGCTGGTTGACCATTCCCTGCCTCATGTAGACTAATGAGTGGCTACTGGGTGCTGGCCTCTGGGGATCCAGGGGGAAACAGGCAGAGCCTGCCTTCTGGTGGAAGGGAAGGTGGCATAGTGTTTTCAGGTGGAGGCTCTGGAAACAAGTGTCTGGCTTAATTTTCCAGCTTTGATGGATCTTAGCCAAGTTATTTAACCTCTTTAGTTCTCTCAACTATATAATGGGAGTCATATGACATCTGAGATTGGCTTCAACATAGTCTAGATGAGAAGACTGCCGTGAACTGCTAATTGTTGAAGCTGGGTTGGCGGTAATGGAGAACTCTTTGTAGCATTCTCAGCACTTCTGTATACTTTTTAATAACATGTATTTTTATTTATTTATTGGGCTGCACCTCGTCTTAGTTCTGGCACACGAGATCTTTGATCTCCCTTGTGGCACATGGGATATTTACTTGTGGCATTTGGAGTCTAGTTCCCGGACCAGGTATTGAACCCGGGCCCTCTACATTGAGAGCATGAAGTCTTAGTCACTGGACCACCAGCAAAGTCCACTTGTGTATACCTTTGAAATTTTCCATATTAAGAAGGTTTAAAAAGGGAATTCCCTGGTGGATGTGTGGTTAGGATTCTGGGCTTTCGCTGCGATGGTTCAGGTTCAGTCCCTGGTTGGGGAAGTGAGATCCCCCAACCAGTGAGATCCTTTGTGCAGGGTGGCCAAAAACAAACAAACAGAAAAGATTAAAAAGAAAAGTTTTAAAACTCTTAAAACACAAATAAATAATCCACTTTGTGGCATTGGTGGGAGGATTAAATGAGTCGATGCTTGTAGATTACCTACAACAGTGCCTAGTACCCAGAAAGGCTCCACTCAATATGGGCTAATATTAGTATTTATGCAGAGGGACTGGGAATAAATGAGTCAACATGTCCACCTTGCTTCCTCCTCCCCATGGTGGCACTCTTGCACCTTGATCGCCCCTGTTTCTTCCACAATGAATCCCCAGGGAGGCACTGCTCCCCTCTGAGGCTCTGGCCCAGCTCTGAAGGCAAATCATGTTTTGAGGGCTATGGGAGAAGGGATTTCTGAATTAAGGCTTAATATGGGAGGCTGTTTCCTCATCCCACTAAACCAGAACGTTCCTGGGCACCAGGGACAAGTGCTGTTGGAGCAGCCTGCACTGTTTGGTGGCATCTCCTTTCCTTCCCTTTAGCGAGGTAGCCAGATTTTCATTGTCTGTAGGCAGCGCTTCCCTGGGGAATGTTCTGGAGGAGGGTGTGGCTGGGAGTTGTGCAGGACCAAGAGGGCAGCAGGTGGTGGCACTGACTTCAGGCCCTCTGTGGGTCAGCAGGAAGGGTAGGATGAGGGGAATCCCTCCAGGCCTCTTGTATCCTAAGCAAGGGTCTCTTTGCTTCCACAGAAAAGGGCATATTGTACAGCTTGTGAGCCTGCGAGAAAGTACAAGGTGAGGACATAAACCCAGGCCCATCTCCTTGGGATGTCTTGAAAGGATCCTTGCTTGCTCCCCAGAGATACTTCCAACCCCCAATCCAGCCTCCTGGAAGGGAGGGATGAAAGTAGCGATGGGTGGGGGTGAAATGCCAGAGGTGTCGCCAAAGTCCTGGTTGGGGGACTAAGCACCCATCAGTGCTGGGAGTGCAGTCCCCAGCTCCTGTTATCCATGCCTCCCCTTTGCCAAAGACACTGCCCCCCATCAAGAACCAGCAGGATCTCAACCAGCCGACCAGCTGGAACCTCAAGATGGTGAAGGAGGAGACGTGCTGGCCATGCCCCCAGCCGCCGTCACCAGGCATGCTCTGCCTAGGCCTCACTGCCCATGCCCATGCCACCGATGACTTCCTGGCCAGCTACTTCTCTGACTTTCCCCGCCACTTCTTGCCCTGGTGAACTCTCAGGGAGGAAGGGAGGGGTCTCCTTTCTCTGCTCTCTGCATCGCCCCTCCCCCACACACTCCAGAACAGGGGCTACCCAGATCTAACCCTTGCTGAGGGCTTGGGGCACATGCAGCCATCAGCAGGACTACTGGGGCCCTGGTGGGCCCAAGATGCCCCCATTACTGTCAGGCCCTTACAAGGAGGGGCAGAGAGCCAGAGCCCCCTGGGGAACCCACCTAGGCCTCCCTGCCTCCCCTCCTCCCTTCCCTTTCCACCTTGGAGCATCTCCAAGTCCTGTGCTGACTCTGAGTTGGACTTAATTCCCAAAATGCAGCAGCATTATGTTTGGGTTAAGACTAGAGGCTGCTGCAAGCTCACCTATGTCCTCATGACCAGGCAGCCACCATCACTGCTCATGCCCCTGACCCCAGCATGGTGGCTTGCCCAGGCCACTCAGAGTGCTACGGCCTGCCCCCCAGGGAGCTGCCAAAGAGGATGTGCCCCAAGGTGGAGTCAGAGGCTGGTAAGGAAGAATCCCCTGACAAGTGGGCCTGTGTCTCCAAGCAGGAGAAACAGCTTCTGATTGACTGCCTCTCTGCCATCATCAGGTGAGCACCCTCCCCAAAACCCTCACCCCTCTGTCTTCCTTGTGAGTTCGGTCAACTCTGGGTCCACCCAAAGCCCCGCATGTCCCAGCCCTTCCTTTCCTAAAAGATAGAACTTCACAAGATCCTTCCACGGGTTACTCCAGGCTCTCCTGGAGGGTGACCTGGCTGGAGGGATCCTCAGGGCTGGGTCCCAAGTTCTGCCTTGTTGCAGCTGGTAGATGGGGTCTGGAGCTAGGTCACTGTTTTCCAAGGCTCCTACCCTCATCTGGATACCTCTGACCTCCTGGCTCTTCCACTATCATATAATGATCACCTTTAAGAATCCGAGGGGGAGGGGGACCAGAGATGTCTTTTTCTAAAGAAGGAACGGCGGGAAGAGCAACTGATCAGCCCCCCACCAGCACCTGTTTGTGGCCACAGTAGTCAAGAACCACCCCTCGGGGAACCCTGAAACCAGAATCCCCCACAGAGGACTGCAAGGCCTCTCAGTGAGGACCTTCTCCTCCTCTGCCCATCCAGGGGCCTGCTGGAAGACAAGCTCTTCCATGAGGCTGTGGGCCAAAACCTGGTGGAACAAATGCCTTACTTCTGCCAGTTCTGGAATGAGCAGTCGGCCAGGTTCATGGCCCACAACAGCAGCCTGCACGTGGTACCAGCCCTGTCTCAATCCTCCAAGAGCTCGGAGTTCAGCAAAGACGAGGAGGAGGAGGAGGAGGAGGACAAACGGAGGCTGGGGAGTAAGGAGGGGGAAGAAGAGGAGGAGAAGGAGGAAGAAGAAGAGGAGGAGCTGGAGGAGGAAGAGCAGGAGGAGGAGGAGACGGAAGAGGAGGAGGAGACGGGCGAGGAGGAGCTACGGGAGCAGGAGGGGGAAGACAAGGGGGAGAAGCTGCCCTGGACAGAGATGAAGCCCTTGCTGCAGCCCACATCCCAGGAGTCCCTGAAATGGCAGTGGCAGCAGCAGATGAAGGCCTTACTGAAGGAGAGGCAAGAGCAGGATGAGAAGGAGGCCATCAGCCGGTGAGCAGCCAGGCCCAGGAGAGGGTTGGGGGGGGGAGGGAGGCGCTGAGTGCAGAAGGGTCCTAGGAGGCAGTGGTGTGCTGGGTCTCTAACTGTGTCAGCTTCTCTTTCCAACTCCGCTGTTCATTGACAGCGCTGCTAGAAGCTTAAGGCCTCAGGGGCGCTATGTACAGAATGGCGATTTGAGCTTTAGTTTTTCTTCTCCAAGAGCAGACTATTAACATCTACCATCACACCACTTGCAGCAGGGTGATTATAGTCGTCAAAGCCACTTAAGTGATTTTCTAGAGCCAGGAGCAAAGTACCACCTCTTCTTGCACTGCCGTTTCCTGGGGCTGCTCTGTGGCTTTCTGTCCACGGTGTGATTCCCTAGGAGCTCCTTCTGTGCGGTCTCATGGCTCAGAACCTTCCCCCAGCCCTGGTCTTGGGATGGGAACCCGGATTGTCTGAGTTCGAATCCCTCTCCGGTACCAACAGCATGACATTTAGCACCTTGGTCTCTTTGAGTCATGGTTTGAACGTCTGTAACATTGGGACAAGAATGTTTCATAGTGTTGGGAGGGCGGGGAGTTAAGTGAGAATCCACCTAAAGCTCGGGGCAAACGGTACAGCACAGAGGAGGCCAGCGGAGAAGCCCAGCGCAAGTCGGTGGCGGCGCTGACCCCGGCGTGCCCGCCTCCCTCCGCGCAGGCTCCCGGCTTTCGCTATCCTGCAGGAGGCGCTGCTGGAGAACATGATCCAGAACATCCTGGTGGAGGCGAGCCGCGGGGAGGTGGTGCTCACCTCCAGACCACGCATAATCGCCCTGCCGCCGCTCAGCGTTCCCAGGTGGGGGCGCCGGGGCCAGCGGCCGCTGGAGGGCGCGAGGGGCGGCAGGGGAGGGCGGGGGAGCCGGGAAGCTTCTCCTCCATTCCCCCTACCTGGGGCTTTCTGTCTTCCAGGATTCTGAGTCCCGAGTCGCTGCCGGCAGCGGCCCCGGGGCCGCAGCAAGCGGAGATGCCCGGCTCGTTTGAACCGCCCCCCGCCGACTGTTTGCAGACGCAAGGGCCCACCCCCTCCGACTTGCATCTGTAGATTCCTCCCGGCCTTTTCTCCATCACCCCCCAGTAAAGCATCTAGCTCCCCTCCCCACACACACATCTGCCTTGACTTTATTTCCTCGTAAGCGACAAGAATTCGCGCGCAGTCTGAGAGGCACAGACGGCGGAAGCGGACAAGGTGGACCGCACTGACTCGGAGCTGGGAGGTTGAGTCTCTCCTCTTCACTCGGCAGCTGGGCGAGACTTCTGCGGTCTGGCCAGTGGAGGGCGCTCCGAGTGGTTTCTGGCCGGCTTTTACCCCAGCAGAGCCGTGTGGCCTGGTCTGCACAGCAGGTGGCCGCGGAGCAAAAGGGGCCATCCCTTCCCTTTCCCGGCCGCACCAGCTCCGAGGTTCGGCCTTTCCACTGCTAGCTTTTACTCAGCATCTGCTGGACTCCCGGGACTCTGCGGAGGTTGAGAGGAAGGGAAATCGAGGCACGTCGAGGAAGGTCAAGAATTTGACGCTGGGACGGGGACGGAGCACATCGCTAGGCCGCGGGCCACAGACCCTATTAAATGTGAATCCGAATCCCCCAGGCCAGGGGATGCCCCAGTTTCCCTAGGACACCCAACCTCCCGCTCCCCCTAACCTCCGCCTGGTAGCCTCTGTCCTCGGCTCCTCCCCACACCCTCCCCGAGGCAGGTGGGTGGAAAAGTGACATCTGGTGTTGTTCCAGAGGCGCCCAGGTCCCTGACACCCCCCTCCACCCCCACCGCCAAGGCCTCGGAGGAGCTCCAGCCCCGAAGCCTAGGCGGGGGCGGGGAGAGGGGTGAGGGGGCGCTCCGCCTCCTCTGAGTCAATATTTGCCCCGAGCAAACGGGCGCCCGGACAGGTGCGAGTGTGTGTGTGTGTGTGTGTGTGTGTGTGTGCGCGCGCGCGCGCGTGTGTGTGTCTCTAGGGGCGGGGACTGGGTAGGCCGTATAAAGCGCGCTGAGCCGGGGCTCCCGCACAAGCTCCGCGGCGTGCGCTAGGGACCAAACCAAGCTGGGCCGGGCCGGGCCGGGTGGAGGGTGGCCAGGAAGGGAGGGGCGGGCCAGGTGCGCACCTGCAGTGGCCGCCGCTGCCGCCGACGTGTCAGCCGCAGATGCGCGCAGATGAGGGCGGCGGCCATCGAGCGCGGGACAGCCCAGCGCTCGCCGAAGACCAGGACCAGGAGACCGCCGAGGGCCACAGCCAGGCCCTGGACGCCCCGCTCCCGCCCCGCGACGAGCCCCTCGCACAAACCGGACCTGAGCGTTTTGTTCGTTCGGCTCGCGTGAGGCAGGGGCGGCCTCTCAGCACCCGCCCGGGGGCCCGGGCCGATCGCCACGCAGGCACCTGTCGCCGCCGCCGCCGTACGGGTCGGAGAGGCTGTGCGCCGCTCCCCGGGGACATCCGGCTCCCATCCGGCCCCGCCCGCCCTGCCCTGTCCTGTCCTGTCCTGCCCTGCCCACGGCTCAAGGGCTGGCCGCTTCGATTCCGGATAACGAGGGCCGGCCGAGCCAGCTCCGCCGGGTGGCGTAGGGGGTCTGGGGGCCAGGTTAGGCGTTCTTCCGGAGGTGGAAACCCGGGTTTCTAGTCTGGCTCTGTCCCAGCAACTTCTGTAGTCTTGGGCAAGTCATTTCCCGGCTTCTCCTCGGATTTTCCCACTTGCACAAGGAGAGGGAGATCAGTCTGGCCTCTCATGTGGGGCCCACCAGTCCCCATTTTCTGGTTTCTGGGCTTTTAGCAATGATTTTGAGCCCCTTGGCCTGGGAAGTTGGAGTCTCGCAAGGAGTTGGAGCAACAGCTATGAGGTGTGGAAAATCTGGGTCGGGGGAGCTAGAGTCACATTGGATCAAGTTCAATTCCTCCTCATCTCTTTGGTGCTGACATCCTGAGGGTTCACTCCCTGCCATCTCCTTGGCCCATCTTGCAGTCTCCCCATTTCTGAACAGATTGCCTGAGAAGGACAAACACAGGGTCTGGTAGCCCTTGCCTGCTGGGGGTGCCAGGCCCTGCAGTTGGCGGCCTCTCCCAGACTTCATAATCCCAAGGTCTCTTGTTTCAGTCAGCTGGGGGTGGGGTGGGTCTAAGTGGCCCTCAGATTAGGTGGGAGTTCTTGGGTCATTAGCTACAACCCAAACCTAGAACAGGCCGCCCCCTTTTCAGTGACTAAGAGTGTTAAGATCTGACTGGAGAGAGAAAGATTGCGCTAAGCCCCCCACCCCCTGCTTGCAGAACCTAAAACTCAGACCTGGGGTCAGTTGAGTCCCTGTCCTTGATTCCCAGTGTCTTCCGTTCCATTCCCCCAGAACTGATGTCGATGCTAAGTCAGCCCCAGAGAGAGGGGTTAGTTGTAGGTCAGGGGTGGAAGGAAGGTTCCTTGGACAACAGTAAAGAGCTCCCCAATTTCTCCTAAGGGTTAGGAGACATCATGAGGAGGGACTGTATCCCCACACATCTAGGCCGAGGAAGCCCCCAGGGGGATGGGAATGAGGGTCAGGAGTCGCCGGTCCCTTCCCACTCCAATTTGGAGGTTCCTGGGGGTGCTGGCTTTCCCCCTCTACCTTCCCTCCACTTCACTGCCACCCCTCACCCAACTACCCGCAGGTTCCACAGGATCTGCTGAGTCTTGGCACAGAGAAAGGGAGGGGGAGGGGATGAGATGGCTCTGACAGAACCCAGGCAGGGCTGGGGAGAGGGCGGACTGCAGGCTGGATCTACGTGCAGCAACCCTTGGGCAAGAGGGTGGGGGGAGGCCCATGCATGGGTCCTGGGCTGGGTGTGTGCGGCTCCCATCCTGGCCTCCCTGACCAGGCTTCTGTCCTGGGCCCAGCCCTCTGCTCCTTGCCTGGCACTGATTGATCTGCCTGTCAGGGGCCTGGTCTGGCCCTGGCACATCTTCCCTCTGTCTTTGTGGGCATCCTCTCCCCTCCCCCAGTCGTAGATGGAAGTGGCTCAGAGCACTGCCCCCCTCCCTGGGATTCCAGACCCTAGGGCTACAAGACAGAAAGGTCTCCCCTTGGAATGAACCCCGCCCCCCCAACATACAGTGTTTCGCCAGTGGACTGGGGTCTGCCCCTGTGACAGAGAGCCACTGTCTCTTCCCCTGCTCTCAGGGAGGGGGGACGGTGTCCGCAGACTTCCACCTCCCCATCCCCCCAAGACCCGCATTTCCTGGATGTGGCTGGGATCTGGCCTTTCCTCCCGGTCCCTCCTCCCCTGCCGACCCAGGGGTGGAGTCTCCAGGCGCCAGGCAGGCCTGCAGGTGCTGGGCTTGGGGAGGGGGGTGCTTAGCAGCTGGTGTTCGAAGCAGGGGGGGCACCCCTCCCCCTTCCTGCGCAAAGCCGGAGCCTGCTTCCTGTCATCCCTGTCAGCACCCTGGGCGGGGGAAGGGACAGGTAATGGAGGAAGTGGAAAAAAGGAAAGAGCACTTGGAGTGCGGCTGCAGGGGGAACAGGGAAATCACCGATGGGAAAGGGAGAGGAGAGAAGGATGTGCAAGAAGAGATGGGGGAATCCAAGCAGGATCAGCGAGGGACGGACTGTGGGTGCAGCCCAGCGGGCGTGGAAGATTTCAGAGTCCCGAGAGGCTGTATCCACCACCACCCCAACCCCAGACTTGTGAAAGTGAGAGCTGGAGAGAGGCCAGAGACACAAAGAGGCAATGTAAGATAACAAGGGAGGTACACTCCAGAGAGATGGAGGTATTTGAAGATGTTGGGTCAGAGGTCAGGGTAACCAGGGATGGAAGCTACTGTGTGTGTGCTGTGTGTGTGTGTGTGTGTGTGTGTGTGTGTGTGTGTGTAGGAAGGGGAGCTGTATGAAAACAGCCTCCATCCCAAGCCATGTCATCGGGATGGGGAAATGCTACCCACAGCAAAGGAGAAAGAGGTGGCTTCTACCTGAGCTGCATCTGTGATCCAGGACTGGGAGGGGAGGTGACACTCCTATCTCGTGGACACCCGTAATGCCCCAGTAAAGGGCAGAAGGTGAAGAAGGGTAAAGCTCAGGCCACAGTGAGGAGTGAGGGCTGTGGATCTGACTTCATCTCTTCCCCCTTTCTCTCTCAGCTACCGCTGGATAGACAGCTGCAGCGGCTGCCCCTGGCCCCACTGTCCACGTGTGGATTCTGCCCAGCCTTGGAACTTCTGGGTGTGGAGGCCACCCAGGGTCTGTGTGAAGTGTGGGGACCTGGGAGTGGAGGCACTGGGTTGGGGAGGGTGGTGTTGTACACAAGCGCTAATCCCCAATCGGGCCAAGGCAGAACCAGAGCCTCACTGACCTTCTCGGAGATTAGTCCCCATGACGACAGTGGCAACTCGCCCCCTCATTCTGGCTAGGCCAGGTGTGTGTGTAAAGGGTGGGGGATGGCGGGGCAGGCAGAGGCTAGGGGAGGAGGGAAGGAGTCTTCCTGAGGCATCACAGGATCACAGGAGTAAGGGTTGGGTGGCCCCTCCAGGATCAGCATTTAGCTTAGTTTTCAGGTACAAACCTGTGGCCCCAAAAAGGGGAATGACTCGCCCAAGACCACATACGGAGCCAGGATAAACGCTGGGACCACAAGTCAGGTCTCTGGTTCCAACTGCAGAGCAGAGGACTGAGCAAAACAAAAGAAATAGGGATACCCTCCCACTGAGCTCATCATTAGAGTGGTTCTAATGGCGTGAAGCAGGGAGGCTCCCTATTCTGAGAGCCAGGCTGCTTTCCGCAGGGCATGTATTAGATGGGGGGCATATATGGGATGGGGAGGGGGGATGCAGCTAGACTCGATGCCCTGACTCCTCCCCACAACCTAGCCCAGCCCCAGGAGCGGGGGCACGGATGGGGAGCAATAGGAGGACAGCAAAGCCAGTTATAACCACAGCCACCACAACAGTAACAGTGAACATTTATTTGATACAGGTCAGTGCTGGGTTTTACATGCATTTAAATCTTCACAATTTTAAAGGGAAAATTTGAGAGGTACAAATTAGAGAGCCTATTAGGGGAGTTTGGATTTGAACCCAGGACGCAGCCCACTCTTAACCCTTCAGTGTCTGTATGATCGTGACTGGGTGACTCTGATGACCGTGGAGTGGGTGGTGTGCACA